TTTCCAAAATCCAAATCTCCAAATCCCCAATTCCTCAAATTCCTCGAATTCCCAAAATTCCGAAGTCGTCAAATATCTAAATCTCTAAGTTTCCAACTCCCTAAATCCCCAAACCCCTAAAATCCAAATCTTCAAATCACTAAATTCCCAAGTCCCAAAATTTTCAAATTCTATCATTTCCGATCTTGAAAATTTTTAAATTTCAAAAGATTCAGTTCTTCTAACTCACAAATTTTGTAATTTTTTATGTGCCAACCAGCAAAATATCGAACACCACACTCGAAAAAAAATTACTATGCGATCTTGGCTGATGGTCATGTTTCAATAAAAAATGTATTGATGTAGGACGCTTTTGGCTGCATCTGAATTGGCATCAGCTTACTGCTGCTGAATACGAGACAGAATCTTGTAAAATATAGCTATAATATTTTATTTAATTCTACCAAACATTCTTAATTGACATATATGTAATTTAATTTGTTTGATACTTCAGTAATATTAGGTTATTAAATTGTGAACATTTTTAGTCAAAGGTCATTTCAAGATGATATTGCACATTTTTTAATATATTTGAATAAAATACTGTACGAGATGAAAATATGTAATATACTAATGATATAATAATATGACTATGTAACATAATATAATAACATAATATAAAATATGCAATATACTTACATAAAAAAATCACATCATTAACCTTAAAAAATCTGAAAAAACCATTTCGGCACAAAAATATTCCTTCCTTGATTCAAACTATATCTAAATTAACGTGTTTAATGAATTGTGTGAAATTAATGTGGAATATCATTACTGTAATATACAATACTATAACTTTTATTATAATATTTTTAGTTCTATTACAATTGAAGTATGTATGTAGGTCACAACCTTTAAATGTACCAGCTTGTATAAATATACTATTTCAATAGACCTTTATTAATAACCCTTTACTGGTTATCTAAATGTTTCAATTTACTTAATCAGGAATTGCATACTGACCTGGTTAACAACTCCAGTATGATTTAAATAATCAGAGTTATCTTTGCATTTTTACCTCAAAATTTAAATTATAATTACACTTCCTTACATTTCAAGTTAAAGATAAAATACAAATTTTCTCGAATAACAAGAAACTGTTTAAGTTTATTTTTTCTATTTACAAGTTAAGAAAACTGGGTCTTATTCTCGTAACCGAAGAAATTCCTCGAAAATTTAATACGTCAATGTATCAAGACTTTATATTCAATAAAATGTAGAATGCCTTAAATGTACTCAATCTATCAATCGGTCGTTTAACAGGGGTTCCTAAATCTATAACGGAGGCAACAGTTTTGTTACGTTGCAGAAGAAGAAAATCTTTCCAGCAAGTCTCTCGCTCCCCTATTATATCCAGCACTTTCCACTTTCATCGATTGAATAACGAAGGTTCCCCCAGTTCCCTTTATCGTAGATAAAGTTCTCCGTCATAATAACTTTGGCGTCTCTAAATGGTACGTATATCCGTAATAAATTGTTCTTGCAAACTTTCTGGATGGCAAGCTGTATAAATAGTCTACATCCCCGCTTCGTGCGTTTCCAACAACCCACCTTTACCCCCGAACCAACCTCAACCCACCTTCGAGACGACGCTATACCACTCTTAAGGATGCTTTTCATTGCACTCACACACGAAGGAATTCGATCGATGCGAGTGTCCCGTTCTGTCTAAAGAAAACTTGCTTCGTTCAATGTCCTCCTCCAACTGAACGGACCTCGAGTCCTACTATACGCATCCTCCATTGTGTGTTTCGTGACCTTATCCTCTCTCTTTTTCACTGTCCTTTAAAATCTCTTCCTCTTCTCTCTTTTCCTCCTGTCGTACCATTGCTTTCGGATAGAGCAGAACTTCGATACCTAGCTTCGAAAGCATACGTGTACTCATTTCATGACATCTTGTAACAAGCATTGGCGTAAGTAGATAAGAGTCAGGCTATCTTCCAGGAAAATGCAACTTGAGGTCCTCTCGATATAACGATATACGTGGTGATTTAGTAGAGTTAATGTCTGACAAACTGTTGACACTATTATACTTTGTACTTTTACAGTAAAATACACTGAAAGTTTTGGGTGTAAGGTAGGAATTCGTTACGTTTTGAAGAGAGTAGTTTAATGTCGTAAACAGTCTACAATTTATAAGCGATTATAGTGTAAATAAAAGTGTTGATCTTTCTCTTAAAAACGGCCACCGAACGATTGTATTCTTAGATCTAACAAACACTAGTTTCATTAGAAGTGTATGCCTCGATTCTCCTGTTTAATAAAAGTCTTAGTTACGCCAATGGTAACAAGAGTTTCGTCTCGCTTTCAAAAATCTTTTCTCAGATAGACTCGTTAAACCCATTGCCTTTATTGGTCTCTTCTAACCTCGTTGCCTCGAATAGCCGACGCGACGGTTTCGCTCCTCGTACTTCTGCTCCCCTGTTAGCTACGTTTTGATCTTCTTGTCTGGCTCGTTTCTTTACTTCTTGTCCATTGTCACCACTCGTCACGGTTTGCATCGACTTAATTGACTTTAGCTTCGCCTCGATACGAGGGATCAGATCGTTGAGATTCGTGATCGTATGCGTGTAAAGGACCAGCCAGATTGTACGAGTCGTTTGTTGGAATATCGAGGATCGACGATTTGAATGGCTGAGAAAATTAATCGATGCAGTCCGGGGTACATTATTCAGAGGGATATAAACGCGGCGAGTATTCGCAAGGAACATTTGAATAAATTCGATTAATAAAAACACCGCTGATGGGATTCCATCGAGCCTCCAGTGTCTCTCTGACACCTTTGATCGACACCTTTTAAAATGGACTGAAACCAGGAGCACATCTAAAGATTTCGCACCTTTGATTAAATCGGAATTATATCCAACTACCTAAAGCTTCGTTTGAGAGTTTTCGTGCTACGTTTTAAATGCTGCCGCAGTAATAAATGCGAAGGGACGTGTAGCCCGTAAAGTAGTGGGTATAATTTTCTCTGGCTAAATTCATGGAAACTGCCTATTCATTTCCGGCCCGAGAGACTTTGTGCCTCTTTCGGTTTACCGAGAAAACTTTTGTATACACGCTGAAGTTTTCACCTGCAATTACTTGGCCATCTAAACTTGCTGGATAGTAATACGACTTCCTCTTATACGTTCCACCTGCTTACTTGAATTAATAGGGTAAAGTTATCCAAGCTTATTAAACAACATTTCTGATATTCCTTTATTAATTGCATGCGAATGAAAACGTTGAATGTAACTGCGTTCTGTTTTAAATCAATTCGGTTGTACCGACTGTTACAATGAAATGTTATTTTAACATTAAATTCTGTACCTTTAAGCAAACTCTGATCGCTGAATTTTTAATTGAAAATCTAAACTTTTTTTAAACTCTGATCTCTGTTATTTTAATTGAAAGGCTAGTTACAAGTAATCTGATAACTTTTACACTGGAACAATGAAATCTGTTTTTCAGTGGCAACTGGTAAAAGAATGCTGGAGATACAGCAATAAAACTAAACTATGTTCCACGAACAACGTGTATTGTATTATAAACAAAGAAATAGTGATTAATAGTGTAATACAAAATTTTATAAAGTAATAATTAACTTAAAAAGCGAATACTATTTTTACTTTGAAATAACATTTTTTTCGCTATAAAAATTGTTCTATAAATAAAATATAAATTGTCTACATTGTGGAAGCCACATGTATAATAAATGAGAGATATTAATCATTACAACCAATAACATCATAATATGTTTACAAAAACTCAAAAATTATTATTTGAAGCATGACAAATATTATTTGAATAAAATTATTATTATCTGCTACCAACGTTTGAAAATTCCTAAAATCCCGTTTTTACCGGCCACTTAGAGATTCAAAGCGGCGATGTAAGGAACTTCTTATACAAGCAAAATAATCCTGGAAGGTTAGGTAAAAAGATAACATATTAATTATCCGATAATGTATTTCAGAAATGAAGTAATGTGTATACGTGTTGCAAAACCTAATATGTAATTGAACTTTCTGTTTCACCGTTCAGAAGTTATTTAAAATTTTACCATCTGCATGTCACATTCAACATTATCGATTCGATTTAGAATAAAACAGTGGTGCTAGTCGGTAAAAATTATAATTGAATCTGTCACTGCATCATAAAGCAATCGGTAACCCTGGCACAATCGATATTCTGTTGCAGTCGATAATTAAATACCAGTATACGCGCATGTAAGGTCTGCTCTGGAGAAAATGGCAGCTAAGGGAATGTTCCATCGTCCTATCACCTGAAATAACAATCGAGCATTGGTTTACGTTATTCCCGACTTATAATAGGCATTTTAAAATAGTAAAATTTGTACATGTTTGCCAGAGAGATGGCGCTACCTGTTTCATTTTCGTAAAAATCCAATCAATATTAATTTTACTGATTAATGTGTCATATGTGTATTTTATATCTATTAATGTTGATTTAATGCTGTTTGCAATATATTCCGTAAGTCCGAAGATGCGGATTATATGTTCAGAATAGTTCGTACACTACTGTGTCTCGTCGGTAATATAGAGAATAACACTGAAATGGTAAAAAATTGTTCGAGTCGCCAAAAACCGTTTTCACAAATATTTCCTTTAAAGAAAGGAGCTCGTTTGTAAAATTTGACCAGTATCGGAATATGACGGTACTCCGTAGTTCCTTTTCCCTTTATGTTTCAAATAAGTTATTGATAAATGAGATGCTTGTAATAATACCTGGTTTCAGATGGAATATTATCATAGCTTCACGTATTATGATCTAGTAATCGATATCGTTTTGCAAAAACTTCTGTAGATAATCTCCAAAAAATAATAAGTTAAGTGTCACGATTCATTTACGTCATAATGTAACTTATTATCGCACATTTTCTTTTATAATGTGTTCTTTGGAACGGAGATATCTACGCTCGCTAAATACATTATTCAGGTATTCTAAATTCGCCGCTCTAAATAGATGGCATAACAAAACCTCTAATTCTTTTGCACAATTGATCATTCAGTACATAGAACAGGAAGTTCCATAAGACGATGGCTCTATATCAATTTTATAACTAGTCTGTGGTGCAATCTCTTGTGAAACAAAGTATACAAACAAGTGCTGTAAGAACTTCACCAGAGATACAGTTGGATACAGTTAATCAACAAATATCGTTAAAGGTTTCCATTACGCATGAGGGTTATTTCTTCTTCAGATAACATCGATTTGTTTTAATATTGTGCCTATTATATACTAAGTACAATGTCTTATCAATTATATCGAAATACAACGTTAGGTAATACGTTACAAGAGAGTCTTGACGAACTGATTCAGGTATGCATGTAAAAGTATGCACTATTGAGGTTAGAATCTGCAGTAAATACTACATAAATTAATATAACAATAGTGAGATCAAACTAATTTTTGGCATAAAATAACGTGGATACCATAATCTGCTTATGTTGTAAATGTCAAAAAATAATTAAGGAAATGTGTCAACTTTTTTATACATCTAAGAATAATAGATTTGATGAACATGATACAAGTATATAAAATTGTTTGAAATTAATTTCTTTTTTAATGATCGTTTACATATCATAATTTTACATGTTATAGTATGGACAAATCACACCACAATTAGCTCTTAAAGTATTATTACAATTTGATAAGGCAATAAATCAAGCACTTGCTACTAGAGTAAAATCAAGACTTACATTTAAGGTAATTTTATTTAATTGTATTTAGCTGACTATAACTAGTTAACTTTTTGGCATAATTATCGGTTGTATATACTTTTCAGGCTGGTAAATTAAATACTTATAGATTTTGTGATAATGTATGGACATTTATGCTTAATGATGTTGAATTTCGTGAAGTTCAGGAAGTTGCAATGGTAGATAAAGTAAAAATTGTTGCTTGCGATGGAAAAAGTAAGTAATCCCTTTTTTTTGTTCATTTATATATTTATAAATTTATTTATAATAGAAAGGATCAATATCCATATTTACAAAATTTATTAATTATTTTTGTATTGTTGTAGCACTAGATGCAGATGCAGCAACAAAACGATAACGTCACTTTCTTATACAATTAAATATACACTACTATTATATAACAAGTAAAAAAAAAAAATACTAGCCATAAAAAAGTTTCATAATAGATAACAATTTAAGCAAAATACATGTACATGTTTAATATAGGTATACAGTTTTTATTCATTTTCCAACATCGATTAAATTTGATTATGTAACAACTGGTATCATGACACTATGTTAAAAGTAGAAACATAAAATTCACCTGTTTTTTTATCATATCAAAATTTAGCACTAGCTTTATTTTTATAATGTATTTGGAAATGAATAGATTTTACACGTACTATATCTACTACCATAACTTACTCTTAAAAAGTATGAAAATATATAATTGTAATCTTTCTATGTGGTCCAATTTGTTCCAAAGATGTAAATAATTCTTCGAATGAGACTGTAAGATTCATTAGAATTTATTAACGTGTTTATATAAGTGATATAAGGTGGCATTAAGATTATATAAGGAAATAATTCATTGTGGTGTATTTTGTATTATGAACAAAAACTTTTAATATTAACAACATTCTTTTACTACTTATAATAATTTATTCATAAGTAAATACAGTAAGTTTATAATAAGAAGTAATGTACCTATACTTGTTACCATTAATATGATAGTCTGTCTAATATTTTTATTATGCGGTGTGAAATTTAATAAATAAAGTAAAAGTATATTTATGATATATTGCCCATCCAAAAAGAAACAAGGCACAATATTAATAACTGCTAATCCTGCAGAGAAGACTGTCACATATTTGCAAAGTAATGCTAAAGCTTCTGGTAATTTAGGGTTTAAAAATGAATATTTTGGTACCCAATCAGATACATCAACTGTTCTATAAATATCTGCTGGATGTCCAAAATATAAAACATCTTTTCCTTCTCTTCTTTTTATTTGTACAATCTGTAATAAAAATTAATTGTTAATATCATATCATTAACTGTATATTTAAGAAAATATTTTACATTATTAATTATTAATATTACCTTAGTAATATTATCCAGAGAAGGTTTTAAGCAATGAGTATCTTGAAACAAACACTCATGACTAGCATGACAAAAATTTTGTGATTGATTAATCATTATTCTGGCTGGAAGGCAAGAATGTGGAGGTAAATGAAGAGGAGCAGATTGTGGTCCCTCAATATATTCAAAGCACACACTTCCACTAGCTTCACTATCTGAAGTACAACAGTTTATAACTCCATTAGTTTTCTGTCTAGATGGAACTGATTCATCATATTCCTAAAATAATAATATTGGAATATTATATAAAAACAATTCAAGAATAATAGTAGATTTATCATAAAATTAATTACAGTATATTTCGAAAAATGCACGTATAAATTGAATATTACCTGAATAAATGACTGCTTAACACAATATCCAAGAGCAGGCTGATTTACTGTATCTAATATACAATCATACCAATCTTCAGTCTGTTTTATGGGACAATCATTTATCTCATAGATTATGTCTTGTTCAAGAAGTCCTGCTCGACCTAACACAGGTGAATTCTATAAACATAAATTTTTATAATAAAAAGAACTTACCATTTATAATACAAAATTATTCTCTCTACATTTATTGATTGTACAATTAATTTGTATTTGAAAACTAAATAAATAAAATATAGAAAATGTTTAGCATCACTTTTGCTTACAGGTAAAATAGTTTTTACATAAATTCCATTCCCAACTGTATAAAATGGAGCCCATAACCATGTAGAAAGCATAAGAACTGTTGCAGCTAATGTGGCAAGTATTATGTTATGCCAAATTCCTGCACAAGTCACTCGTAGCTGATTCTTCAATGGTAACGAAGTAAGTTGTTCACTGCTTATATGTACATAAGCTATAGGTATTGTAAATGCAATTAATATTCCTAAGCCAAATAACTGAACATCTTCTCTTGCTGCAGCTAATGCATGACCTAACTCATGCACAATACTGCAAACTGCTAATGTAATGATATAATATCCAAGTTCATTGAAAGGTACATCTATTCCAGGTAACTGTAAAAAGTGAAGAAATATTTTATATTAAACTTAAAAAAAATTACTGAACAATGAAATTTTACGTTTTTAATAAAATTTAATGTGAAACACCTATTACTTTATAATAATAATATTATAAGAAGATAATTTTATAATCACTTATATACTTTTACATAAAAATGAATTACCATTGGCTCTAATAGTGGTTCAGAATTACTATCGTCAAGAGATGGCCCATTACTCCATATATTAAATGTCATCTTTAAAATTGCAATTGTGGCGATAGGCAATAGAATGATACTAATAATGACTCCTGCATTAAACCAAGCAGTCCAAAATTTAGAACGATCCATTCCCCATTTAATTATCTTACGGTTAAACGCTGTAGTGAACCATTTTATTCTTAACACTTGAACCTCCAATCCAGTATTTTTTAAAAAGTAAAGATATGGATAATGTGAACATGTCTGAAATATAAATAAAAATTATTTCTTGGTTATAATGAATAAATTAGGTATTTTATAAACGAAATTATATGAAATTATGTTATTACTAATACTCAATCACATAGTAATGCTTTAAACTATAAATTGATTGATTATATTTAATATTATACAATTGTATCCTTGTATGTAAAATAGTAATTATTTTTAACAATATATACCTTAAAAATAGTGTCAAAGAAAAATAATGAACAATGAATAAGACCTATAGCAATTAATACATTTAAAGCTTCCATTTTTCAACACTTTATTTCGATGTTTTATGTTAATACTTCTCATATTACATATTGCATATATCAATTCTTTCTTGCTGCGAGTATACAATGCAACTTGAACAAAATAGCTGATTTTGCGGTCAGTTGTATAGATAATATATTAGTCAAACGTGACTTGCTGACAGTTACATTCCCTAGAAAGTATAATTTTTAGTTCAACAAAGATATTTAATTCATTAATCAATTCAAATATAGCACTTTATATACAGATAATATTACTATAATATTATTTTAATTAAACAATGGTACCCTACAAAAATGAAACAATTATTACAAAATAAAGTTACTAACGTTCTTTAACGTTAAAATACCTATTCTTAAATTCACATATTGGGTGAAATAGTTTTTTTGACTAATAAATATTTATTTCGATTTTATTATCTTATTTTCTATTTGACACGTGGTATATATTCATGATGCATACCCGGTGGAAAATTTTTAAATTTTGGTTGTATGGGGAATACATTATGCGAATACAGTATAGTGATCTAAATCTAGTGTCAATTTAATTATAACTGTATTCAGAATGTATACATACGTCTAATTCAACCATGTGTAATCATTATCACTTTTACTTTGTTTATAACCTTATGCATTGTTAAATTAGAAGGCATGGTACATTATATTTAATATATAATTTGTATAAGTATTTGATTTGTGTACATTTCGAAATTAAAGTTATACTGACATGTCTCTAACTATTGAGAAACAAATTGAATTATTATTAGCTGGTCATCCTTTAGAAATTGATACACAGGAAACTAACCATGCCGTACAAAATGAAATTATAGGTAACGATTTTTGTATATTATTAAATGTTATTAATTTATGAATATATGATTTATCAATATATATTCTGTCGTTACAAGGTTTAAATTAAATTATTTATTGTACACTAATATTAAAGTCATAAATAAATATTTAACAAAATATGTTGCACGCTATATTCTATTCAGTTAATATTATTTTTGATTTCCATAATTTTATTGTACCTTTCTTGGGATAATTATAATCTGTCTTTAGCAATTCATATAAAAAAAATATATGCATTATTAGGGATAAAAGGAACTGTTAATAACTATGTACCAATTTGTCAAAAAACTGTGACATATATTGTTGCTGCTGTAATTGTAAATAATCAAGGAGAAGTATTAATGATTCAAGAAGCAAAAGCTTCTTGCAATGGAAAATGGTATTTACCAGCTGGTCGAGTTGAACCTAATGAAACTTTATCAGATGCTATTAAAAGGGAAGTTTTAGAAGAAACAGGCCTTATATTACAGCCAGAAACATTGATATTAATAGAGTGTGCAAGTGGTTCATGGTTTAGATTTGTATTCAATGGCAAAATAACTGGTGGTAAATTAAAAACATTAGATGAAGCAAATGAAGAATCTTTACAAGCAAGTTGGGTATATAATATAAATGATTTACCACTAAGATCACACGATATTGTTTCTTTAATAGAAAGAGCTAAAACTTATACCATGAATAAAGATATTTCACAACATCCATATTTAATGCCAGTTAATAAGTCATTGAATAAGCTATTGTTACGGCTTACAATCACTTCAAAGAAACGAGCAACGTAAGTTGAATGTACTTGAAAAATATTTTATACAAACTTTATATTATATGGAAATTTTATATTTAACTTTATACATATGTTACTGCTTATGCTTGATTTCTGTTTAGTATTTGCACTTTCAGTATAAGGTCAATGGTGTTAGTTTTCATAACACAGCAAGATCAATTTGATTATGACTGTGAATGTGGATGAACGCTTTAGGTTGGAGTAATAATAGGTACACATTATATGCACATGCACTTGTACATACACATATATAACAATTAAATTACTCTCATATTGTTTCTTTCTTTTAAAAACTTATATTACTAATCACTCTCATTTCTATCAAACATAAATTATATCCATTTTTTGTTAACTTAGTCTATTAGTAATTATATCTTGCACAATAATAACAGCTTAACTTATAAACTATATTGTATTGTAATTATAAGCTTAATTCATTACTTAAAATTACATAAAACTTTTTATGCAGTTTAATTATAATATTAAATTCTTATTATTATATATTTTATCAACAGGAATAAATTACATGTTCTTGTGTCAGATACAACACCATTTTATTTACCAGTCTGTGAAATTAATCCAAATCGCAGTCTTCTTTCTACTTTACATAGCTTTATGGAGGTAAATTGATACACTAAGTATGAGGGTATATCTTTTCGAAATACCAAATAAAAATATTTGTTTTTTATTTACTACAAATTATAATACTATATTTTATATTTCATAAATTGTTTAGGAACTATTTGGAAGTGAAGTTGCACCACATAAGCCACATGGTATAATAACTGTAGACTTCAGTGGAGGTCAAGGAGGAGATGGATTATGTTTAACACTACTGGTTTCATTTAAGTTGCCAGTAGAAGATGTAGCTGCTGTTGGAAAATTCGTTTGGTATGAATTGCCTGAAAATTTAGCTGCAAGTATTACTTACCGTTTGCCACGAAACATGACCGTGCCTTTACACGTTATACGATAATCTGATACAATATTTGCATATTATGCATTTGAAATTTCAAATATGAAGTATTTCATTCACTTTCAACCTAAATATGAAATTAAAATTTATGCTGGAAATATTAATATTATTCCAAAATTTATAAACTGTTAAAATGTGAATTCTAAAAATTCTAAATTATTATATAATATTGATACACAAATTAAAATGAAACAATTAACACGCACATATACATATATATTCATACATTCCAAGCACTGTTATAACACAACAACTTTATATTAGCCAGATATATTTATACATCTGCTTAACAATACCTAACCATATTAGGGAAATATTTACGAGCATAAATTTATGTTTATCCTAGTCTATACCAATGACTTTTTTAACAAGAACAAGCATATAATTTATAACTTTCATAAGAATTTATAATGTAAAACGACTAATATTAGATTTTAATCATTTATATGAACTTTTATATTTTGCATTATTAAAGAAAGCTGCAGGTGTTTCTAATTATTATTAAAAGTTTTTAGAAATTCCTTTAGATTATAGTATATAAAAATCGATACATGCAGTTTATAATTTTATTTATATTTAATCAAATTTCAAAAAGTATTTAATAAAATAAATAAAATTTTATTCTTATATATTATAAAAATTTAAAGAATATTATTATTGCCGATATTACTTACATTCCAAATATTTAATTATTTGTTGAGCACAAAATAAGAACAAACATGTATGTGTATGTATTATATACATATACATATATACAAATGTATTTTTGCAAAAATATACATTATAAATATTATTTATTTTATGAATATTATTTAACATTGTTTACATACTAAACGCTTTGAAAAAGTTTTAGAAATATTTATGTAAATTAATTTTCTAATGAATAAAATATTTATTAACAAAAATATTAATTATAAATTAACACGTGGAAAGTAGTTGTAATACTACTTTAAAATGAATAAAACACTTTACCAAGTTATTGCTCCATAGAAATTTATTTTGTATTTAAATAAAGAGCATAAGATATGTCCAGAGTATAGATATGAAAACTTCAATATTAATATTTAAAGATTTGAAATATCACAGAAATATACATAAACGTTTTTATAAAATCTCCACATATGTATACTTTTGACTTATTCTATAAACTGCAGTCCAATAGAAAAATCTTTTATACAAAACGAGTATGTATGTAATAAAAAGAAAAGCTGTTATGTATAACATAAGTTATATATTGTAATCTATAATGTTATATTAATAAATGCTGAATTTTGTTTTTACAAAAAGTGACTCTATATTGATTAATACCTTCCGAAAATATTAAAAAATTTTTATCAGCTATCAAATTTTCGTAAATTTAAATCAATTTATTTAAATATGAATCGCAGGAAATATTATTTTTAGAATTAATATCTCAAAAATCGCATGAAAGACAATTTCATATGTAATACTTTATACGTTAAATGACTTAAAATAAAATAATGAAAAGCTTAAGCACTTTATGAAAATAAGCATTGTGAAATATCAGAACAGAGGAGATTTGTATAAGAAATTATTTATAAATTCAGTTTTTAAATTATAGTTATTGAAGAATGAATTTATAAATAATTAGTCAATTATGTGAAATTGCACATATTCAAACTGTACTCTGTACATGTGTTAAGTGTACAATACTAACTGCTTACAAAACAGCTGCCTTATGTGTAATTCAGAAAATACATATTTATACATTTAAAACGAAAGAAATTTTTAATTCTGTAACGTATTTGTATTTCTATTATAAAATAAGTTCATAAGCTTCATTAGCAGCGATTTATTTTAATATTTACTTAATATATACTTAAGACGATGTTGGTGTTAATATTTCAAGTGTATTTGTTACTTCATTATTACTTTCATTTTTTATAGGAACAATATTGTTTGTACTAGGCATTAGATTAGTATCAATGGTTTGAGTCAATGACAAATTATTGAATGAATTTAAAGATGCAGCACTATTAAGATTTACCATAGTATAAATTGCTTGTTTTTCATTATTTTCACATTGATTAACATAAGTACTATTATTTATAGTATGTTTTTTCATATGTGTTGTTAAATTTCCACTATGATAAAAATCTTTTCCACAAACTTTACACTGAAATGGTTTAATTCCAGAATGTATCCTTTCATGTATTGATAAATTTCCACTATGTCTAAATTCTTTACCACATACAGTACATTTGTAAGGTTTAACACCCGAATGAGTTCTTAAATGTGTTGACAAATTTCCACTGTGACTAAACATTTTTCCACATATTTGACAACCATAAGGTCTTTCACCAGAATGTGTTCTCATATGAATAGCTAAATTTCCACTGTGAGTAAAAGATTTTTCACATTGATTACATTTATAAGGCCGTTCTCCGTTATGGGTCCTCATATGTATAAATAAATTACTTTTGTGCCCAAATTCTTTAAAGCAAATTTCACACTGACATTTGAATTTTTTCTGTGCATTTGTTTCTAAAGAACTGTTAGGTAGTCTTCCAGAATGATTAGGTTTTATTGTTAATATGGGTTCTGAAGTAATTAGCATTTGATTTTCATATTTTCCTTGTTGCATAGTTTGACAAAATTGTGATTGTTGTTCTTTTTGAATCACATCTATAATATGACATTGTTGATTCATCTGACTCTGAGTTAAATTTCTTTCCTGATTAACTTGAAATAACATACTGTTTTGTACATAATCTTTCATATACATCAAGGAACCATTTTCCTAAAATATTTAATACATGCAATTAGTCATTAAGTTTTGTTTTATGGATTATATTAATTACACAATGTAAATATGTAAATGATTTATATTTTTAAGTAAAATTTGATATATTCATAAATGAAGTATTTATAACAGATCTTAAGAATTAAAACCCACTTCTGTTTGAAATAAGCTTTGCTGGCCATGAATTTCTGTTTTTGTTCGTATTTCATTTTGCGTATGATCCCAAAAGATTGGTAACTGATTATATTTATAATCATTATCTTCATCATTAAATGTTGGATATTTGGAGATGTTTGAAACGTTAATTTTCCCATCAGAATTAACATCTTCCATTCCCATACACTCATGTTTTATTTGTATAGGATTAAACATCTATAATTATAATTTAAAATAATAATTATAATGATTGATGATCAATACATTTTTTCTACATTATTTGTAAATAAGTTGATTACTAAAAAATTAATTAAACCACTTTCAACTAATGAAATTAAAAATACTAAAACTATATTTTAAAGGTCATATGCAATTTTTTATAAAAAAGCATAAATTTTTAAAATTAAGGAACAATAGTTAAGATCAGTAATTACATATATAAAATTTATTACATTTTTAAAAAGATATATTAAAATCAATAGCCACTTTTTTGGTATCTGTAATTATTCATAATTTGACTGGATCATTAATTTTGAAACAAATAACATAATTAATATACACTGTCACTTCACAAAAATTATTCATTATATAAATGCATGAACAAGTAATTGTTTACAAAACATTGCTTCAAATAACATTAAATATACTAAATAATACTTTATTGTATAAAAGCATTGACTTAAATTATATCTTCAGACAACAATAAAAGTATCCAATTTCTTTGTTTCGTAAATGACAGATTTTTTTTATAGCTAGTAGTGCCATCTGCGAAGATTCAGTTTTCGGATTGCAAGCTATAATATGAATAATTTTATATAAAACGTAACAAAATATAGTATTCAAAGTTTAATTCTTTAAGTAGTAATAAGTGCTACGAGGTTAATTAATTTTTTGTTCATACATTTCATACAAACAAATATATTAATAAATGTTTGCAAAAATGCTATGTATTTATAAAATTAAAACTGTATAATTTCACCTTATGAATATGAAAAACACTTTAAATTTAACAAATTATATCAATGCTAAATACATTAATAAAATTACAAGAGTATTTGTATTTTTTTGTTCTTCAGTAAAATTTATAAACTGCAGGTGTACAGAATATTTCAGAACACGTAGGATCTACTTCAGAAATGGCAGAGGTTACAAAACACAAAAGGTTCATATGAACTTACGTTCGTTAGTGAGTTTAGATAATTTCGAAACAAAAACAAGTTGAATTTATGTTTGTTTACATTTTTTGTGTTATTTTTTAACCCCTTGTTTATTCCTGAAATTTGTTCCATATATTACGAGACATCTTATATATGTTGGTATTTAGTGTTACCTATAGAGTGCGCTATTTTACTGTGTATTTATGTAAATATATTTACATGTATCAAAATACTGTTACATCAATAACTCTACAGTTTATAAACATTACCAAAAAACGAATTTGTTCATATATTTCATTTGTGAATGTCAAAAAAACATTTTATAATAATTTTCATTAATATTTAAGTGCGCGGTGAAGACCTGTTGGTTAGAAATAATTGTGATATTTCTCGTTTGATTAAAATTTAAAATATGTAATATTTCCAATTGTAAGTAATATTAAATATAAACATTTAAAAATGTTTCATCAAATTCTGTAACAAATTTATTGACATAATACTCATACACCCATTAACTTTACTTATTAACTTTAAAAGTAATTTGTTAGGTTAGGAATATATAAAAACAATAATAGAATTATAGATTATTTGATAATGAATAACTGAAATGTAAAGTTATGCACTATGCCTGGTGGAAGACGAAATGCTGCTAGTAGGAATGGACAAACTAAATCTCAGATTGGTTTTTCCCAATCTGCGAATATTGGAATACGAAGTAATAGTGGAGAAAGGACAGCTGGAAGTGGAGGAGATGATAAAAAGTCAGAAGAACTTTATGGAATGAAGATATTAGTACCAAAACATGTACCCGTACCTGTTGTACCTGTTGACAGTCATTTAACATTTGAAGCTTTGTCTTTGGTTGTGTCAATTATTGCAGCTTCTTTACAAATGCTTAATTTATATAGAACTGTATGGTGGTTACCACATTCTTATAATAATTATACCATGGTATGTAGTTTGAAATATTTTGTATTAGTTTATAAAATACTATATGAATGTTCATTACCATGTTTCTTTTATGCATTATTAAAATAAACATGTATTATATTCTTTCAGAATTTTTATTTAATTGATCCCTATCTGCTCATATTTATTGTAACTATGGTTACAAGACAATTTATTTATTCTCTATTACATCGATTCATTGATATTTCATCTCCAGTTCGTTGGTTGTCTACTGCTCAAAAAATTATGAGGTATACTTTCTACTATATTAAATAAATAGTATAAATGAAATTATATAAATCTTTTTCCAAATATAATATGCTATTTTGCAGAATAACTTTGTTAATTAGTGTGATGAGTATATTGTGTTGGTGTCTCTATCATATGGCTGAAAGGCACAATTCAATGAAGATTTTCTACTTGTGCTATCCGTTTGTATTTTTTTATTCATGTATATGTGTACACATACTAAAGACTTTACACACATACATAGTAACAGTATTTATTATATGTACATTGTTTCAGAAGTTTATCTGTGTATTTTGTGATGTTTGGTGTAAGTGCAACACCTTTTTTTGATATATCTACAACACCTGTATACAGTAAAGATGAAAAGAAGACAAAACTTCTGATGGGTATATAAGTTTTACTTACACCAATAGCATTATTCATATACCTTCAACAGTTAAGCTTAAATTAAATTTAATTTTTGTAGATAAACCTTTACATAACTGCTCTTTAAATGCATCAGCAATCAGAGCAGAAGTTTCAACCTTAAGATCTGATTTCAATCGTCGTTTGAAACGAGCGTTGTTTGCATCTTCTAGCAGTGCTTATGTATGTGGTATTGCACCAATAATATTTGTACCTCAATATTTACATTTTAATGTTTCATGGGTTGTACAACATGTTATTATGTTTTGGCTTGGAAGGATAAGTGCTCATTTCTCTCAAGCTTATTCAGTTAGGTGCGTATTTGTAATTATTTGTGAATGCTCCTTTTATATTATGCATATAATGTATTGTTAAAGTATTAATGTTGTTTCTGAGGAATGCGAACATTAAGAAAATTAAGAAAATTCATTTCCAGAAATTTGATGAATACCCTACTTATTTAGGTACTGCGACGTTTTACATAGAGCAGCATTGCATTTGGGGCGATGGATCAAAATTGAAAATCGTAACAGTCATACCTATGCACAAGCATGGAATGACTCTATTTTGTGGCCTCATGGTTCAATTGTAAGACACAATAAGGAAATTTATCGTTCAGAAGGTTTATGTACCGTAGCAGAACCAGGAAATTCAAATCACTACAGATTTTATGTATGTTATAAAAATAATAATTCACTGTGTTATAAATTGATGTATATGATCATATAGTGAAAATGAGCCGATTTTAATGTGTATTATTTAAATTCTTTGATACAGGCTTTGTTCAGTAATCCCACAATGTTACTTTGTTCATTATTGGGGTTACAGCTCCTTCTTGTGTGCGTGCAATTGTTAATTTTATTACGCACAACCGACTGGTATCAAATATTGTCAATAACATTACTTCTTGTGATCAACTATTATACTTTGTTTAAAGTAACTAGAGATTATCTTATTTGTTGGAAAGTGTATCACGCCGAGCAAATAATACAAGGAAAATCTCAAGTGACTGTAAATCCTGCTATTCAATAAATAATCAGTAAAAATAAGTTGTCTAACGTATTTATCCTTTCATATCTATAAATTTTTATTTAAACATGAAATTTTTCATTTTATGTAACATTTCAGCATATAACAGTAAAAGTAGTATTTTATTATACTCTATTGTAAAAGTATATTACTTAAATTTTACTTTTCTTATTATTATGTTATTTTTATCGTATTTCAATTATATCACGTTAGTAATTCTATTCAAGTTTGAGGAAACGATAATTCATTTGACAAACTATTGTAAATCAGTAATATATGAAATAATTGTTACTTAGTTTCAGTTACTTTTTGATGGAACAAAAGTTATGTACGTTGCAGACAGATGTATAAAAATTCAGAAAAAAATAAATAAAATAATTGTTTTCAACATCTTTTGACGAATAATATTTATCCGTAGCTTATGTATGCTTGAATTATTTCCTGTTATAGAATTTCTTATGAAAATGAAAAATACTAACGACTTAATATGATTGACGTTCGCATTAAATTTCTTTCGAAAAGTTAAGTAAACATGCAATGAGATGACGTACATTAAATATTATTTAACGCTATTTCAAAATTGTGATAATATTATGCTGTATTTTCAAACATTATCTTAAAATATTACGTTTAATAATATTGTTATATCTGTATCCGCATTATCAGAACAACGTAGCCATTTCTATGGTTCAAGTAAGAAAATGAAAAATACATTCCGAAGTATAATAATATTTGATAGTAATAGTGAAAGTACAAATTATTATAATTGACATACATAACGAAGAACAGTAGCAAAAGAAATTTGTTAAAAATGGAAAGTAATAACTTGTTTTACTACGTTTCGAAGATATCCGCGTTTATACTGTCGAACTTTTTAATCATACTAGTATTATAAATTAAATATTTTCACATTTTTTTATTCTAAATTATTATTTTCAATCCTTTAAATTTTTAATTTCTAAATTTATTAATTTAAAAAGTTGTAAATTCTTAAATTTAGAAATTTTCAAATTCAGATGTTCTGTAATTAATTTTTAAATAAAAAATTTCATTAATTTAGAAATTTAGATAATTACATTAGATTCGATATTCATTTGATTGCATCGGTGTAATACTTGTATTAAAACAATAGCGTTCTTTAACTAGTAAATTTTTGTTGTTGAAAACATTAAATATATTTTTTATTTTATAGCCCAAAATTGTTACAAATAGAGGATTTATTTTGCAATTTAAAAAATGTGCGTTATGTGTATTCAACTGCAAACACATGTGATTGAAAAATGGTGTATTGAAAAATATGATGAAAGTTATCAGTAAAATAATAAGACGTAGTTTACAATTTCTTCTCGAGCAGTTATGTATTTAATGAAAAAAATGTCCAAACAATGGTGGTATTATATATAGGAAGAAAATTAAAATGAAATGTAGTGCTGTTTGTATTTGTGACAGTGATGAGTATCATTCGGAAAACTGCCTTATGCTCCGTGCTTACATTTATTGGTGTGTGATTTTTCACAGTAATTTCTTGTCAAATCGACATAAAATTTGATAAAGAAATATGTTTTCTTTTGTATGGCATATATTACGATAATATTTTTCGTTTTAGTTGAAAACAAAATTTTTGTACAATAGAAAGACAAATATTGTGCTACTATAAAGTCAAATAAGATGTTTAAGAAATTATTACTTTAAATTCCAATAAATATTTTGTTCTATTAACGCAATATATTAAACTGTACAACAATATTTATTATTTAGTTATGCTTTATTTTTTATTATGTAATGATTGTTTAGATTAATATAAGTAACAATTTATTTTTGCAATGAATTCGGTATAAAAGTAAAAGTCGATAAAAAAGTACTTTTAATCAATATTTATGTATACAGTTTCAATACAGTCAGCAAAAGGTATTAATTTAAACACATGTTATATACAGTTTATTAAAAAATAATTTTAATTATTATTAATCGATTTTGAACAAATACAAAAAGTAAAGTAATCAAGAAGTCTTATAAAGTTATAATGAAATTGTGAAAATAAAATAATTATTTCGTAAATATTAGTACTTTCAGTAAATATTTTATTTAAAAATCAATATTATACTAACAAAAATGATATAAATGGTCATTTTATATTTAATAATTATTTTCTGATAAAAACATAAAAGGGGTAAAAAGAAGGAAGAAAATTTTGAGTATATTCCAAGCGTCACCAACTTAAAACTCCATGGATTAATAAATGTATAATTAACCCATTATAATACATTTTTAATCTCAGTTTATTCTAAACCAGTTAAATAGAAATTATACGAATTTTCCAAAGTTAATTCTTTCGTATTATGAAGATTTGTACGCTAGAGTTATAATTTTAAGAAATTATTGTTTGATGTCTTCTATAATTGTACAAAGTTCAAATCGCTATTCCGAAGGATTACAAACTACTTTTGTCAGCATAGTTTAATGTAATTATTTCGCGAAATATACTGCAGTTGTGATATATCATTTAGTTGCTGAAAAGCATATTGTTAATATTTGAAATAGCATTTCATAAGTGTTTCATACTTCAGTTCTAGCCAAATATGGATCATGTAAGCGAACACCAGTGGTCGGCTATGCTCCTGGAGTTAGTGGTATGCCACCAGTTAACGAAAAAAATTGCGAAACTCCTGAAATTTTGAAGAATTCACATTTATCAAATGCCCTCGAGTGTAATCGTCCCTGTCATGTTGGGCAGAAACCAAAAACTTGTTATTACAAATTCGTGCTTGAACGTTATCCCGTCAGCGGGCAGTAAGTATCATGTACATGAAAAACGTTCAATTTAAAAGTACTATAATTTATACATAAGCGTAGTACCTTTATGACCGCTTCTAAAGACAGTCATTCCAAATACGAATACATAAATGCAAATGAAATTTGTATATAGAATGTTCAATAGAACCAACATATGTAATTAACAAGTATGAAATTCCATTACAAGAAGAAGCACAAATTTTTATACGTACAACAGTATATCTTTGTTAGATGAACAGATTATTCGCAACATTCTCAATAAGAACGTATTGGAGTACAGTACAGAAAGGCCTAGTTTGTCATTTGTTTCAAATTTTTATAAAATGTTCTCCAAATCTACACAGTCATCGTTTTGTATAAAATGTTAAAAATTTTCAAAACGCACAAAAGAAACGTTTGGTATGAAATATATAAGTACCTTCTGTATAAATGTACAAACAAACAACACATACACATACGTAAATTGTATCTTTTTGTAAAGCCTTATTTTATTAAATGTTTTATTACTAATTTGTTTGTATTACCGGTTATACAAACATTTTGCCCTTCATTTTTTTTAGAGCATGCAATTTTTGCACCCCTAATATCACAAATACATTGTGTCCCAATTGTCAATGCATAACTGGCAACGGAGTGGAGCGTATGGCTTTAGTTGTAAACCGAATGTTACCAGGACCGAGTATACAAGTTTGTATAAATGATTATGTGGTGATTGACGTTGTGAACAAAATTAAAGAAGATGCAGTGACGGTACATTGGCATGGCGTTTATCAAAAAGGAACACAATACTACGATGGTGTACCCGATCTAACCCAATGTTCCATTTTGTACGGTAAAACCTTTAGGTAAGCGACATTACGACGAAAGTAATAACTGAACGTTTATAAATATAATTAAATACAATAGTAAATACAAATATCCATTCGTATTATGCAGATACTTATTTTCTTTTAGATGACCGCTGAAAAATATTTTATCCAGCACGTTTTAAGCATTTTGTACTTTTTATACTTGATTTTTATATTTGTCACATATACTTAAGTGTCTTTCATCAAGCAATACAGTAGAAATTACTTACATTTAAACACTCTATTTATGTTGTTGGATATTGTATTTTTTCCAGATATCAGTTTCCTGTGCAAAATGGCGGCACTCATTTCTGGCATGCTCATACGGGATTAAACAAGATGGACGGTGTTTTCGGTAGTTTTATTGTAAGGCATACAATAGAACGAGATCCCCATGCGTATCGATACGATTACGATTTAGCAAATCACGTGGTAGTAATTACTGACTGGATGCATGAAGAATCAACAGAGAGAATGCCAGGTCGCAATAGTGGTGTAGTTGGTCAAGCTCCCGATTCGTTTTTGATCAATGGGAAAGGAAAAGTTTTGGTAAATGTATATGATATCAAACACTACTCGTGTCTGATCATTTGGCAGCTGGAAACAATATTGATCCTATTGATTCATTATCAGACGCGCACCGTACTTATACTACCAGTCAAAAAATCAAAGCAACGTCTTTGTTATATGAAATAAAAATCAAATTGTAGTACAAGAAATGAAAATGGAATTTTTATGCTTTGACGGTTTGTGTCATGTATGCGTCAAGACCAATTATAATCTGAAGATTGATAATTCTATGATAAATATCAATTGGAATTTTCAGAATGTCATATACCATAATAGTATTGGAATTAAAAGAATTAAATGTAAAAAGAAGTTTGCTATGACAATATTATAATAGAAAGAGTTGAGATGTAAATTAAATCTTTTATGGTTCATATGGATCGTAACTAATATTTTATTTATGTTACAGAACAATAATTCTACCGGTGGGGGTGGTGCTTTCGAAGTCATAACTGTAGAAGCAAATAAACGTTACCGTTTCCGTTTAGTCAATTCATTTTGTGCCACTTGCCCAGGCGAATGGACAATCGAGGGCCACAAAATGATCGCCATCGCATCGGATGGACAATCTATGGAACCTGTTACTGTGGATTCCATTGTCTCATTACCAGGTAAACCAAAGATACTCGGAACAAAAAAAACTTGAACAGTACACAGATCATCTATCATTTTTCAAAATGATAGGAATGTCATTCAGATTTTAAGGGAATTGTATTGGTAAAGGAATTCTCAGAGTTTTATGAAATTTAATATACTTTTAAATATATTTCCTAAAATTACTTGGTTAAAGTGTTGAGAGATGGGTGATATTAACACTTTTAATTTTGTACCTCCGTGGTTTTCAATTACGAAATTCAGAGTATTTAACAATAAGTGTTCATAATATAAAACAAACATTTAATGGAAATTTACGATATACTTACAAAAAATTTCATACCGATAGAACTCTCTTACAATTAGTGAAATTACGTATTGATCTATAATTTATACTTTAGTATTCTAAGATCCATATTTTTACGTCAGAAATCTGTTCTACAAAAGTTGCATATTTTTTTTCCGTAGCCGAGCGGTATGATTTTATTCTACATACTAATCAAAAGCCTGGTGCTTATTGGATACAGCTTCGTGGATTAAGTCAATGCAAGAACAGAGGTATTCAACAATTAGCCTTATTACAGTACATAGATGCACCTACAGAACCAAAAACACCACAGCCTTCTTATGGTGCCATCTCCGGAAAAGTAGTATGTGTTTCTTTATTTTTATTGTCGTTTATGTACATATACGGGGTGTCCACTTGTAGTGAACCATGCAAATATCGATAGTTATTTCCCATAATAATTCGTTATTAAAAAATATATTTCAAAAAACAGTAATGCAAGCTCGCGTTAGCATTTCTTTTCATTTAATCGAGGTAGAGAATAAAATAAGTGATTAATATCTCGTAATAAAATTAGAAGTAGAGACATATGATCGAGAGATACATAGTTGACAGTATTCATATGTACGTAATGCTGTGATAGCCAAGCCAAATGTATTGCTGATAAAAGGCGCTTTTCATATTATGTCAAGAAATATGAAAGATTGTTCCATTTTTATTAACGGAGCCATTTTTTAAATAAGTATTTTTTTCAGATCATTTTGTAGCACCGCGGCAACAATTATTTAGTAACAAGTTTGATATTCATATCTTATTACATTTGTGCAGAAAAAATTAACTTTTAGCAATATAAAGGCTGACTCGGATAAATCGAACGTCTACATTATTTTCATATATAGTTTTCTTCATAAATTTTGATTTTCACATCGTTTCAAGACATAAATTAGACAAAAAATTCGTCCTAAAATCATTGTCGTTTCATCACGAAATTAATTTACATGACAACTTAAGCGGGACACACTGTATATATCCGTTCACGTTACACAACCTGCATACAAACAATATTTTTTGTATCGTTTTAACACTCGTGAAATAATGACATTAGCACAAATATGTGTTTAAATGCTTGTCATATCGTAATTTAAAAATATTTTGAACAATGGACACTAATGAAAACATTTTTCTATAATTGATAAACCAAATTATTCATCGCGAAACTATGATATCGACCAAAAATATAAACGTTTGTTGTAACAATAGGTTTTAAATCCAGTGGACACTCCTTGCAACGGATCGAATCGGAATGCAGTATGCATAAGCAACTTAACGCACGCATGGGGTACAAACCCTAGAATTGAAGAAGAAGAACCAGATATGAAGTTGTACATGCCAATTGGCTTTCGTATTGCTACACCCAGCACCTTTTATCGGCCTAACACGTACAAAACCTTTTTAAGTGAGTCTTTAACACTCAAACAATATTAAAGTTACAATGCAATATATGCTATAATTATACTTTGTTACATTATTCGTACTAATGTTTTCTTTTCTTGATACAGTTCCAGGACCAAACTCCATTGTTATGGGAACTATGGACAATATTCAATTTTCTTTTCCACCAGTACCACCACTTTCACAGTTTGATGATCTACCTTCGAATCAGTTTTGCGACTCTGATAATTTGCCACGAGGTTGTCAGGGCAATTGTACTTGCACGCACGTGCGGAAAATACCGTTGAACGCTGTAGTAGAAGTGATATTAATTGACGTATGTGAGTAGTGAAATAAAATGCAGTGTACTGCAATAATATGTAATTAATCATTCCTCTTACGATAAATTTTGAAATTTTCAAAATTCTAAACTTTTAAATATCTAAATTCCAGAATTTCTATATTTTAGATTTTTAGATTATCAAATTTATAAACTTTTACACTAACTGACAATTCTTAACTTTACAAAGTTTCACAAGTTTGAATTATCACGTCACCAAACTTATAAATTCTCAAATTCTTAAATCTTCCAAATCCCCTAATGAGTAAAGATCAAAATGTTCATATTACAAAATTAAAAATTCCTACATTTATAGAAAATTTAAACTCCCAAATTTCGAAATATCCAAATTTTACAAGAAAATTGGATTATATGATATTCCTTGTTATCTTAACGATTAATTTCTGATATTATAATTGCAGCGAATGTAAATGGGCTAATTCATCCTTTCCACTTGCACGGTCATTCATTTCGTGTTCTAAGTATGGGCCAACCATTAGGTCCTTATTCACCTCAGAACGCAATAACTCTAGATTATGTGAAGAAGCTGGATAGTAAGACTAATTTAAACAGAAAATATGATAATCCTGCAGGCAAAGATACTATTGCTCTCCCAAATAACGGATACGCGGTAATCAGATTCCGTGCGAATAACCCAGGTATGTATACTTCTGATTGGAAGCTACTTCTATGAAAATTAATAACCATAAACATTCCATCTTGAATAATTCGAACTCGCTTTGACTTTGTTTGCTATATTGTGCAAAGATTACAAAGCACGTTACATATGATTATAAATAAATTAATTGGTATCTTTTTATGATGAAGGATATTGGTTGTTCCACTGTCATTTTATTTATCATCACAATGCCGGCATGGAAATGGTTTTCAAAGTTGGAGAACAAAGTGATTTACCACCAGTTCCAAAGAATTTTCCAAGATGTGGCCATTTCATACCGAGTATCAACCCTCATTACAAACACAGAGGTGGGAAAAGCGACAGGAAAGACGATTCGGACGAATGGAAACACAGCGAAGAAAGTAAACAGGAGGAAGGAAGGAGGAAACGAGAAGAAGAGAAACTGTCAATAGCAGATATTGGAAAGATGTTTGATCTGTGGTAATTTCTTCACATTTACATTGGAGGAATTTTTACACCACATTTTATAAAATCTATTCGTTGCTTGAAAATAAAACATTTCTCTTTGAGGGAAAATAAGGACTACATGTTGAGATAATTCTGTTTTTACTGTTGTAATTTATTTGTATTCTTGTAATATGTAACAAACATGTATGTTTCGTTTCTTATGTTGATGTATTCAAAAATTATTAAATTATTTTATAGTTTATTAACAACTAACATTAAAAGATCCATAAATTTAGTTTTTTTGCTAATAACAATCACTTTCAACAAATACATTATACATTTTAAAAACTTCTGACACATAATTTAATTCAATTTTATTGTCCATTTAAGTCTGAATATAATTGAATAAGTATATGTTCAGAAATATACTTTTAGAAAATTCCGATTAAGTTTCGACATAACTTATTTTCATCTTTTAAACTTTATACTATTCTAATAAACACTATTTTTTAATGCATGAGGCCCTCTCGTATCAAAATTAATACATTTAACTTTAATCGAAGTACTATCAGATACATTTTTCAATTATGAAAATAAATTATACCTTTTACCACAATCACTGATGGATATAGCTGAATAAGTTCATCTCTACAAATTGTATGTGTCCAAGGCGTATAAATAGATCAGCAGGATAAACGTTGATAACATAGAACATTTTTACAATCGCGAATATGAATATGACAGAAGCATCAATATTGCATGCGACAATACAATCCATGTATTTGGGTACACTTGATTTCCAGCAGAGACTGTAATGCGTCCTGCATTCTCTTTTATCCAATCTATATGCAGTCCTACCATAGTGTAAGAGTTGCGAGAAAAAGAACATGTTGTATTATCACTAATAATTCCAATTTGTATGGAATTCAAAGTCAAGGGATTGCCAAGCAAATTCTGAAACAAATAAAAACATTATAAATTCAGGTAAATATGCTAATTAAATCGTGTTAGACTGATGTGTAATGCTCTAACAAAATAAATATGCAATTATTAAATATTGTATGTGGTTGGGACTATAACGGGGATTCAATAGTATAATTGCTACATATAATACGTGATATAATATTATATCGTATTAATTAAGCAAACTTTTAAGTGGCTAGAATGAGTTGAAATATAAAATAGTCGCGATTACTATGCATTATACATATTACATATACAGTGCTTTCATAGTCGTATTCCGTGTAGTAATTTGTTTAATACAGAAATAAAAATGTACAAGTAGTACGGTGAACAAGATTTGTAATTTTTGGAGATAAAAGTAGATAATATTCAAATCATAGTTTAGAACTTGTGATTTTTAATTATGTCATTTTATATCATAAATGTTATATTACTTACATAACAGGGGACGCTAAACAATGGGTCTATTTTATCCCAAATACATATTGTGTATAGCTCAGTACAGTTTTCTTGCGGTATGATTTCCAGCTCCTTTTCTCCGGCCTAGACGAAATATATAATAAATTTATTAATTTCTTGACAATTGCGAGTTATTAATAACAAGACCAATTTTATTGGTACGATTTAGGTCACGGGTCGACAAAATTGTTCTCTTTCTTCACTGCTAAGAGCGAGAGTAAATAAGAATAAAAAATAATTTTATATGCCTTCATTCTAGTAAAATGGTAAGATAAAAAGTCACTTTATAACTTCGGAAAAGCACCTCTTTAAGGTAGCATACTGATTTTTACGATAATAAAATCTTCCTTAAGTAGCATGACCATGGCAACTTTCGTTTGCTTGTCGATTGCGTTACTTTTTAAAATTACTTACCATACACATATCTGCGTCCCACCCAATTACAGTAGCCGTTTTTCCTACAGGAAAATTAGTACTGGATGAAAGTGTAATCGGTTGAATTGCACTGCTGAATTTAATGTCTTCGACTACGCGTAATAAAGCGATGGCGCTTACGAGGTGTCGCGTGTACATGAAATCCCACTGAACTTCTTCTACTAAATGTGTAACGCCACAATACAATTCAGAATCGGTTCCAACAACAACTAACAAATCTTCAGGTTCTCGACTGTAAAATAATATAGTACGATTTGATCTATCAGACAAAATTATAATATGTTAATATGTGCATAACTGTGTGACTAATTCATTGTAACGTGAGATAATTAAAATACAAAATGCAGTAGATTTCTGTAACATAGTTACAATCTGTAAGAACGTAAAATTTTTTGAACACTTTGTATGATGTCGACTTTTTAAACTCGCTTTTGGCGGTTGGACTAGAAGGGAATGGTAGTGGCAAGGAAGAATGAAGGGGCGGGAGGTAGAGTTTCGTTCGGAATCTGCAAGCGGACTTATTACTAACTGTCCAAATATTTAAGTTCAAAAATATAACGTTAAGGAACGCACATCTTTTTCTATTAAATTACTCACCCAAAAATGCAAAATTCACTTGTAAGTATATACCGGTTATTAATGATGCTCCCACCACATATTAGGTCTTTACCGGACATTATTCTCGCTAAAAAGGGATACGTGTTTTTTGCACTATAAAAGCGACAATCTCGATTCATACCTACATAAAAAATAATGTACGTCAGATAAATTGTCACTAATAATGTAAAGCATTAATCTTCAATTAACAACTGGTAAGTTTTTCGTTATTGAGACAATTCGAGTGAAAAATATTTAATAAACTCACAATTGACTACAGAAATTACACATAAAAGGAGGGCCAGCGAACGCATGATGGTAGAAACTGAAAATTAATAACGAAATTGATTAGCGTCCGAAATTAAACGCGATTAATGTCAGTATCACTTATGTGAGGTTTCATGAATAATTCCAGAACGTTCCTTTCATATACGTACGTATCTATTTACACGAGTACTGAAGCATGAATATGAAACAATGGATGTGATACAAACAAGAGAAAGTTTAAATATTAACAATATTTTATATTTGCTCAAGACAGATTTGCCTTCTCATAGCACTTTTTTTTAAAATGTGTTTTATTTCTCCGCGTTCTAGATTCCTTCAGTACGTTGTCTCCCTGTACACTTGAATGTAAATAATGAGATGCATTGATATTTCACTGTGTTCGAATATTAATTGTTAATTTTAAATAATATTTTAAATTTTAATATGCGCTTGTAACTACTTATAGGTCAAAATCAGGCAATGATGTATTGCTCTACATGAACACGGATTTGAGAATTTCATTTAGAACTGTAATATATAAAGAAGTGATCAGAGTAAGATCAAAAGTAACGTAAAAGATAATAACTGATGCTCTAGTAGAAGAATGATCGATGAATAATGTCGATCCTTTGCGTACTTACTTTCTGGTCTGATCGAAAATTATATTATTTGTTCTTCAGCAAAACTATGTTTCAGAGTGGTAAAACGTTTAGCAAGTTACTTCCGCAATGTGTCATTTTCAATCTCCAAGATAATTTGATATCTACTCATGATAAGATCTGATTACAAAAATTTTTTCTATTGCGTTTTGAGTATTCTTTGATCATCTATAAAATTATATTTCGTTTGCATTATTATTCAACTAAGAAAGTAAATTATACCTTCCATTACAATGCCGAATTAATATACACATACATGTTTTAATTGTCCAACGTATGTAAACGGATTATCATAATAAGGGTATATAACGATTATAAGTTAAACTGAAAATTTTATTTCATTTTCCGCAAAATTAATACGATAGCTAGTAGGAATATGACAAAAGCGTCAACATTGTGAGTGATAACAAAATCCATATGTTTACATGATTTATGGGGTTTGATCCGTTAATCTCAATGGTCGTAATCGGTCCCGATATCGACTGTATCCAAGGTACGAACGGCAACACCATAGTGTAGACGTCAATCGAACCGGGTGCACATCGCAGTTGCATACAAGCAGCAATGCCAATTTGTACGTTATTGTAAATCAAGGGAGAACTACTATCACCCTGAAATAAATAAAAGTATTACAAATTGTCATAAATTAGCTGATCAAGTTGTGTTATACTGACATATAATGCTTAATAAAATAAAGAAAGCGATAGACGATTAATCATTTTATAAAATATTGCATGTTGCGAGCACGGTAATGGGCATCTTCTATAGAGTAACATAATCGATTAACCAAGAGATAGAAATATCTTCTGATTTTATACAGTATCAATAATGTATTATATTATTTACATAAAATGTTTAGTGATGCGGTTAAATTGACAACAAAGTATAATGCTATATACAGCGTTTCCGTAGTGACATTAAACGTATTAACGTTTTCAATACAACAGTGTGAATGGACACGTATAAGGTAGAGAGAATTCATAATTTTTGGAGATACGAATAGGTAATTTCCAATTTTAAATTTTGGATTTCTAATTTTACATCGTTTACACAATAGTTATTCTAAAATATCCTCTTCCCTTTTTTTATTACTTATTCCATTACATTATGTTACGGTGTCCCAGATTACGGTGTCAACGACATTAAATGTGTTAACTATTAAAATAATACCGAATCACGTAATTTGATTTCATGAAGGGTCATAATTTTTAGGGTATGAAACGGATTCATGCGTGGTATAATTACAGGAAACTGTATAAGGTTTCAGCAAAGTTGGCACATGGTATTAATTTAAACACACGCTATATACATTTTGTTACAAAATAATTTTAATTACTATCAATCGATTTTAAACAAACACAAACAGTAAAGTAATCAAAAAGTCCTACAAAATTATAATGAAATTGTGAAAACAAAATAATTATTTTGTAAATATTAGTACTTTCAGTAAATATTTTTTTTAGAAATCAATATTATACTAATAAAAATGGTATAAACAGTCGTTTTATATTTAATAATTATTTTCTGATAAAAACATAAAAGGGACAAGAGGAGGAGGAAAAATTTGGATATATTTCAAGCGTCTCCAATTTATAATACATTTGTTACAATTCATTTTTAATCTCAGTTTATTCTAAAGCAGTTAAATAGAAATTACACAAATTTTCCGAAGTTAATTCTTTCGTATTATGAAGATTTGTATGATAGAGATATAATTTTAAAAAATTATTGTTTGATGTCTACTATAATTGTACAAAGTTCAAATCGGTGTTCCGAAGGATTACAAACTACTTTTGTCAGTATAGTTTAATGAAATTATTTTGCGAAATGTACTTCGGTAGTAATGTACATATGTCACTCAGTTGCTGAAAAGCATATTATTCATATTTGAAATAGCATTTTATGGGTGTTTCATACTTCAGTTCTAGCCAAATATGGATCATGTAAGCGAATCCCAGTGGTCGGCTATGCTCCTGGAGTTAGTGGTGTGCCACCAGTTAACGAAAGAAATTACGAAACTCCTGAAATTTTGAAGAATTCACATCTATCAAATGCCCTCGAGTGTAATCGTCCTTATCATTATGATTTAGCAAATCACGTGGTAGTAATCAATGATTGGATGCACGAAGAATCAACAGAGAGATTCCCAGGTCGCAATAGTGGTGTAGTTGGTCAAGTTCCCGATTCGTTTTTGATTAACGGAAAAGGAAAGGTCTTGGTAGATGTATTTGATATCAAACACTATTTGTGTCTGATTATTTAGCAGCTAGAAACAATATTGATCTTACTGATTTATTATGAGACGCGCACCGTACTTTCTTACCAGTCAAAAAATCAAATCAACGTCTTTGTTATATGAAATAAAAATCAAATTGTAATACAAGAAATGAAAATGGAATTTTTGCGCTTTGACGGTTTGTGTCAGGTGTGTATCAAGACCAATTATAATCTAAAGATTTATAATTCTATGATAAATATCAATTGGAATTTTCAGAATGTTATATACCATGATAGTATTGAAATAAAAGAATTAAATTTGAAAAGAAGTTTTCTATGACAATATTATAATAGAAAGAGTTGAGATGCAAATTAAATCTTTTATGATTCATATGGATTGTAACTAATACTTTATTTAGGTTATATAACAATAATTCTACCGGTGGGGGTGGTGCTTCCGAAGTCATAACTGTAGAAGCAAATAAACCTAACCGTTTCTGTTTAGTCAACTCATTTTGTACCACTTGTCCAGGCGAATGGACGATTGAGGATCACAAGATGATCGCCATCGCATCAGATGGACATTTGATGGAGCCCGTTACTGTAGATTCCATTGTCACATTACCAGGTAAACCAAAAATGCTAAGAAGAAAAAGAACTTAAACAGTACACAGATCGTCCATCATTTTTCAAAATGACAGAAATGTCATTCAGATTCTGAAGGAATTCACATTTACATTGGAGGAATTTTTATACCACATTTTGTAAAATCTATTCGTTGCTAGGAAATAAAACATTTCTTTTTGTAGGAAAATAAGCACTACATGTTGAGATAATTCTGTTTTTATTGTTGTAATTTATTTGTATTCTTGTAATATGTAACAAACATGTATGTTTCGTTTCTTATGTTGATGTATTAAAAAATTATTAAATTATTTTATAGTTAAATAACAACTAACACTAAAAGATCCATAAATTTAGTTTTTTTGCTAATAACAATCACTTTCAACAAATACATTATACATTTTAAAAACTTCTGACACATAATTTAATTCAATTTTATTGTCCATTTAAGTCTGAATATAATTGAATAAGTATATGTTCAGAAATATACTTTTAGAAAATTCCGATTAAGTTTCGACATAACTTATTTTCATCTTTTAAACTTTATACTATTCTAATAAACACTATTTTTTAATGCATGAGGCCCTCTCGTATCAAAATTAATACATTTAACTTTAATCATAGTACTATTATATGTATACATTTTGCAATTATGAAAATAAATTATACCTTTTATCGCGACCACTGATAATGTTTTAGCAGAGCAAAGGTTGAAATTTGATATTGAAAGGAACTTTCTGCTATGTTCCGCTTCACTCGCTCAATTAACGGAGGGTGAATATTATACGTAACAAAATGAATACTGATTTTAATGAACAACTAATAACACTTATTTATGAAATAACAGTGGCAGTGCATTTTTAACAAGTTTTGTATAACTATATTGATGTTGAATGTTGTACTTCAATTGTGATTTAATGTGTTTGATTTTTGCGTTAGTTCTGATGTAGTTCTGGTTTTATTCTGATGTTTTTTTGGCATATTTTGCCGTATTTTAAAGCTTCTTTTCTCCCTTCCTTTGCGTGGTACATGTTTGGAAGAGAGCAGGGTTTTCTACATGGAGAGGACGGTGGTGCATAGAAAATTCTGTGTTTTTCCCAAAATCCGTGACGTATTCCAGAGGAACCTGGAACCGTTATTCTGCAGGCCCAAGTTGCCTTTCCATATTTGGGTCCGCAAGGTTTATGGCACGGCCTGTGTGGCTGAAGCCAAAGACTCGACTAATGAATACATCAATAAATGAATTTATATTTGTTACTCCGCATCAGATAGATAAGATAGATAAGACCAGAATATGTCCCACAAATTGTTTCCCCTCAGGCGAAATAAATAGACTAGGAGTATAAATAGAAGTATCAATATTATACGTGTTGTATAATATGTACTTAAGTATTCTTGATTTCTAGCAGAGACTGTACGCTGTCCTGTTTTCTCTTTTATCCAATCCATATGCAGTCCTATCATAGTGTAAGAGTTGCGAGAAGAAGAACACGTCACATACCCATTATTAATTCCAATTTGTATGGAATTCAAAGTCAAGGGATTGCCAAGCAAATTCTGAAACAAATAAAAACATTATAAATTCAGGTAAATATGCTAATTAAATCGTGTTAGACTGATGTGTAATGCTCTAACAAAACAAATATGCAATTATTAAATATTGTATGTGGTTGGGACTATAACGGGGAATCAGTAGCATAATTTCTACATATAGTACGTGATATAATATTATATCGTATTAATTAAGCAAACTTTTAAGTGGCTAGAATGAGTTGAAATATAAAATAGTCGCGATTACTATGCATTATACATATTACATATACAGTGCTTTCATAGTCGTATTCCGTGCAGTAATTTGTTTAATACAGAAGTAAAAATGTACAAGTAGTACGGTGAACAAGATTTGTAATTTTTGGAGATACAAGTAGATAATATTCAAATCAGAGTTTAGAACTTGTGATTTTTAATTATGTCATTTTATAATAAATGTTATGTTACTTACAAAACAGGGGTCATAGTATGAGTCTATTTCACTCAAAGTACATATTCTGTATAGCTCAGTACAGCTTTCTTGCGGTAAGATCTTCTCCTCCCTTTCTCCGGCCTAGACGAAATATATAATAAATTTATTAAATTCTTGACAATTGCAAGTTATTAATAACAAGACCAATTTTATTGGTACGATTTAGGCCACGGGTCGACAAAATTGTTCTCTTTCTTCACTGCTAAGAGCGAGAATAAATAAGAATAAAAAATAATTTTATATGCCTTCATTCTAGTACAATGGTAAGATAAAAAGTCACTTTATAACTTCGGAAAAGCACCTTTTTAAGGTAGCATACTGATTTTTATGATAATAAAATTTTCCTTAAGTAGCATGATCATGGCAACTTTCGTTTGCTTGTCGATTGCGTTACTTTTTAAAATTACCTACCATACACATCTCTGCGTCCCACCCAATTAGAGTAGCCATTTTTCCTGCAGGAAAATTAGTATTGGATGAAAGTTTAATCGGTTGAATTGCACTGCTGAATTTAATGTCTTCGACTACGCGTAATAAAGCGATGGCGCTTATTCGTCGTGCTTTGTGTACGCGATGCCTCTGAATTTCTCCTACTAAATATCTAACACCACCATCTTCGTATTCAAAATCGGCTCCAACAAAAACTACCAAATCGTTTGGTTCCCGTCTGTAAAATAATATAGTACGATTTGATCTATCAGACAAAATTATAATATGTTAATATGTGCATAACTGTGTGACTAATTCATTGTAACGTTAGGTACTTAAAATGCGATATGCAGTAGATTTCTGTAACATTGTTAGAATCTGTAAGAACGTAAATTTTTGGAACACTTTGCATGATGTTAAATTTTAACACCCGCTTTTGGCAGTTTAACTAGAAGGGAATGGTAAGGGCTTGGAAGAATAAAGGCGAGGGAGGTAGCGTTTCGTCCGGGATCTGTAAGCGGACTTATTACTAACTGTCCAAATATTTAAGTTCAAAAAGTACGTTTTTCAAATTTTTAAATCCTTAAATTTCCGATGACTACTTGACATATAACTTTAAGGAACGCACATCTTTTTCTAATAAATTACTCACTTGTAAACGCACTCCGCACTTGTAAGTATATACTGGTTACTAATGATGGTCCCACCACATATCAGGTCATTACCGTACATTATTCTCGCTAAAAAGGGATATTCGTTTTCTATATCATAATCTTCACAAATAAAACTTCTATCCCCCAGACCTACATAAAAAATAATGTACGTTTGATAAATTATCACTAATAATGTAAAGCATTAATCTTCAATTAACATCTGGTAAGTTTTTCGTTATTGAGACAATTCGAGTGATAAGTATTTAATAAACTCACCGTTGACTACAGAAATTAAGCATAAAAGAAGGGCCAGCGAACGCATGATGGTAGAAACTGAAAATTAATAATCAAATTGATTAGCATCTGAAACTAAGCGCGATTAATGTCAGCATCACTTATGTGAAGTTTCATGAGTAATTCCAGATCGTTCCTTTCATATACGTACGTACCTATTTGCACGAGTATTGAAGAATGTATATGAAACAACATGGATGTGATACAAACAAGAGAAAGTTTAAATATTAATAACATTTGATGTTAGTTCAAGACTGATTTGTCTTCTAATAACACTTTTTCTTTTAAATGCGTTTTATTTCTATGCGTTGCAGATTGTACGTTTCCTCCCTGTACACTTGAATGTAAATAATGAGATACATTGATATCTCACTGTGTTCGAATATTAATTGTTAATTTTAAATAATATTTTAAATTTTAATATGCGCTTGTAACTACTCATAGGTCAAAATCAGGCAATGATGTATTGCTCTACATGAACACGGATTTGAGAATTTCATTTAGAACTGTAATATATAAAGAAGTGATCAGAGTAAGATCAAAAGTAACGTAAAAGATAATAACTGATGCTCTAGTAGAAGAATGATCGATGAATAATGTCGATCCTTTGCGTACTTACTTTCTGGTCTGATCGAAAATTATATTATTTGTTCTTCAGCAAAACTATGTTTCAGAGTGGTAAAACGTTTAGCAAGTTACTTCCGCAATGTGTCATTTTCAATCTCCAAGATAATTTGATATCTACTCATGATAAGATCTGATTACAAAAATTTTTTCTATTGCGTTTTGAGTATTCTTTGATCATCTATAAAATTATATTTCGTTTGCATTATTATTCAACTAAGAAAGTAAATTATACCTTCCATTACAATGCCGAATTAATATACACATACATGTTTTAATTGTCCAACGTATGTAAACGGATTATCATAATAAGGGTATATAACGATTATAAGTTAAACTGAAAATTTTATTTCATTTTCCGCAAAATTAATACGATAGCTAGTAGGAATATGACAAAAGCGTCAACATTGTGAGTGATAACAAAATCCATATGTTTACATGATTTATGGGGTTTGATCCGTTAATCTCAATGGTCGTAATCGGTCCCGATATCGACTGTATCCAAGGTACGAACGGCAACACCATAGTGTAGACGTCAATCGAACCGGGTGCACATCGCAGTTGCATACAAGCAGCAATGCCAATTTGTACGTTATTGTAAATCAAGGGAGAACTACTATCACCCTGAAATAAATAAAAGTATTACAAATTGTCATAAATTAGCTGATCAAGTTGTGTTATACTGACATATAATGCTTAATAAAGCAAATAAAGCGAGGGATGGTTAATCATTTTACGAAATATTGTATGTTGTGGGCACGGCGATGGGCATCTTCTATAGAGGAACATAATCGATTAACCAAGAGATAGAAGTATCTTCTGATTTTATACAGTATCAATAATGTATTATATTATTTACATAAAATGTTTAGTGATGCGGTTAAATTGACAACAAAGTATAATGCTATATACAGCGTTTCCGTAGTGACATTAAACGTATTAACGTTTTCAATACAACAGTGTGAATGGACACGTATAAGGTAGAGAGAATTCATAATTTTTGGAGATACGAATAGGTAATTTCCAATTTTAAATTTTGGATTTCTAATTTTACATCGTTTACACAATAGTTATTCTAAAATATCCTCTTCCCTTTTTTTATTACTTATTCCATTACATTATGTTACGGTGTCCCAGATTACGGTGTCAACGACATTAAATGTGTTAACTATTAAAATAATACCGAATCACGTAATTTGATTTCATGAAGGGTCATAATTTTTAGGGTATGAAACGGATTCATGCGTGGTATAATTACAGGAAACTGTATAAGGTTTCAGCAAAGTTGGCACATGGTATTAATTTAAACACACGCTATATACATTTTGTTACAAAATAATTTTAATTACTATCAATCGATTTTAAACAAACACAAACAGTAAAGTAATCAAAAAGTCCTACAAAATTATAATGAAATTGTGAAAACAAAATAATTATTTTGTAAATATTAGTACTTTCAGTAAATATTTTTTTTAGAAATCAATATTATACTAATAAAAATGGTATAAACAGTCGTTTTATATTTAATAATTATTTTCTGATAAAAACATAAAAGGGACAAGAGGAGGAGGAAAGGAAAAAAAAAAAAAAAATTATACTGATCGAATTGAGTAACCTCCTCCTTTTTCGAAGTCGGTTAAAAATCAGGCAATGAGGTATTGCTCTACATCAGAGGTCGGCAACCTGCGGCCCTTTGCAACTTTTTGCCCGGCTCGCCAAAGCACCAATATAATTTTAGGAAAGATCAACAAACTTAGAGGGTGAGCGTTCCGAAATGTGGCCGGTGACAAAAAGTGCACGCTAACAGAAACATATTAGGAAAGGTACTGCGCAAATTTAGTCCCCACTCCCCACCGAATAAGACGGTTCGCTTAGCAAGTGTAGCATTCTTTCATTTCGTCAGTTTGCTACTGTATGTTCATATGTGCATTTTACACATAAACACGTTCATATTGACAACCGTATGACGTTTCATTACAATAGGTAATGAGAAATACATGTTATTTTTTATTTATTTATACTCGTATATGATATAAAAGCACCATTTAAGTTACATTTGTATTTGCGGCCTGCATAAAAAATTTTATTTTGAAAATGACCTGCCATCCGAAAAAAGTTGCCGACCCCTGCTCTACATGAACACGGATTTGAGAATTTCATTCAGAACTGTAACATATAAAGAAAATAACTGATGCTCTAATAGAAAAATGATGAATGATCTATGAATAATGTCGAATCCCTTCCGTACTTACTTTCTTGCCTGATCGAATATTATATTATTTGTTCTTCAACTAAACTTTGGGAGTGGTAAAACGTTTAGTAAGTTACCTCCGCAATGTGTCATTTTCGATCTCCAAGATAATTTGATATCTACACTTATGGAGTGTTCCTGATAAGATCTGATTACAAAATTTTTTCCTATTGTGTTCTGAGTATTCTTTGATCATCTTTAAAATTATATTTCGTTTGCATTATCATTCAACTAAGAAAGTAAATTATACCTTCCATTACAATGTCGAATTAATATAGATAAACATGTTTTAATTGTCCAACGTACATAAATGGATCATCATAATAAGGGTATATTACGATTATAAGTTTAGCTGAAAATTTTATTTCATTTTCCGCAAAATTAATACGATAGCGAATACGAATATGACAAAAGCGTCAACATTGTGAGTGATAACAAAATCCATATGTTTACATGATTTATGGGGTTTGATCCGTTAATCTCAATGGTCGTAATCGGTCCCGATATCGACTGTATCCAAGGTACGAACGGCGACACCATAGTGTAGACGTCAATCGAACCGGGTGTACATCGCAGTTGCATATAAGCAGCAATGCCAATTTGTACGTTGTTGTAAATCAAGGGAGAACCACTATCACCCTGAAATAAATAAAAGTATTACAAATTGTCATAAATTAGCCGATCAAGTTGTGTTATACTGACATATAATGCTTAATAAAGCAAATAAAGCGAGGGATGGTTAATCATTTTACGAAATATTGTATGTTGTGGGCACGGCGATGGGCATCTTCTATAGAGGAACATAATCGATTAACCAAGAGATAGAAGTATCTTCTGATTTTATACAGTATCAATAATGTATTATATTATTTACACAAAATATTTAGTGATGCGGTTAAATTGGAAATAAAGTACTATGCTATATACAGCGTTTCCATAGTGATATTAAACGTATTAACGTTTTCAATACAGTAGTGTGAATGGACACGTATAAGGTAGAGAGAACTCATAATTTTTGGAGATACGAATAGGTAATTTCCAATTTTAAATTTTGGATTTGTAATTTTACATCGTTTACATAATAGTGGTTCTAAACTCTTCCTTTTGTTTATTACTTTTTCCATTACATTAATTACGTTACGATGTGCCAAACGACGACCCTCATGACATTAACCCCTTAGCTTACAATGACGCCTCAGAGGCGTCGTAAGTCTATCGGGCCAAACATGAATAAGACACCTCAGAGTCGTCGTAAGTATACCGGGAGAAACATAAACAATAAATCTGTTTCTTGTTTAATAATCAACTAATCGTAATTATTTACCAAACATCTCTCAAAGTTAATTGTACCGCGCACGTGTATATACAAATCATAGGAAGTTTGGGATTTGTATAGTTTCGAACGCTGAACTAAGCTATGTATGTATGTCCCTGCGCGCGACCGAACTTGGTGTCGCTTTCGGTCCGCACAGTTGGAAATTAAATCGTAAGGCAAAGGGTTAAATTTGTTAACTAATAAAATAGTACTGAATCACGTGATTGTATTTCACGAACTGAATTTTATTTCATATCCTTTGGGGTATGAAACGGGTTCACGCGTGGCATATTTACAGGAAACTCGAAAATAATATTTCTGCAAAATTGTAGCGTGCGCTGTTCCTGAAGAGATAAAGAAATTTTCACATCCAACGATATCTAACAGCATTAGTTGTGATAAAAAGAACGTTGTAAATGTACCGAGTATCTACTACAATGTAGAAATAAAAGCTTGAATTCACACGTGCTTTTGAAACAAGTGAAAGTTGTTTCATGTTTGTGAAAATAGAACAATCGGAAAATTATATTTGTAAAATACCTTACAGAAACCACTATTCTTATGTCTCCTCACATGGACAAATTTCTGGCGTTGGAGTAGACAGCAAAGTATGACAATTTGTAAATTTGAAGATTTCCAAATTTTCCAACATCGAGGCTTCAGAATGTTACATTTTGAAGTCTTACAAATATGAAAATTTCGAAATTTGAGAATCAATATTTTCAAGTATTAATAAATTTCTGAACTGAAAAATTGGAAGGTTCGAATATTTCCAACTTCAGTACATTCTAATTTAGAAATGTCTATACTTGAAAATTGTTTAACTACCGAATTCAGAATTTTGAAAATTCTAGCATTTTTGACTGTGAACATTTTTAAATTTCTATATTTATGCACTTGAAAATTTTGAAGGTTGACCGCGGCTTTCTCAAACCTTTACGCTAAAGACGATATAAGTTATAAGTTTAGTAGTGTTTAAGCCTTTACTTTCCACTGCAAACAGATCTCCCACAGAAAATACTTATAATAATACATTGTTAAATGTTTTGTCACTTACAAAGCAAAGAGCTCGATATCCGTTCATTTCCGCACATATGTATATGTATATCTTGTTGTCGGAAACTTCCCTCTCAAACGACTTTCATACTCTGATAGCGACATGATGTTTGCGGCTGTCACTTGCAATTTAACAGGTAGTGTCGATGCCATCTGTTGAAGAAAAAAGAATGATTTCTTTTTTAATTCCGTTTCCATAAGATGTTTCAATCGTTTATTATTTTGTTAATATTAATTAACAACCGAAGATTTCTTCTCTGTGAAAAGGAAGAAGTCCTGTGTTTTTCACATTAAAGTTAGCGTAGAAATTATAATTCTGGGATGTTTCTGGGGTTTTGGGGTGATTTTAGGGGAAGGATTCTATGGAAAAATGTATCTCGCACCGTTTGGTCTCTGAATTTGCATACGTGAATCAGTCAGTCAGCGGAAAGGAGGTTGTGTAGTATTCTGATATTGATTTTCCCAATAATGAAAAATGTTTGATGCAGTATGATTTTGTCTCTGCAAGTCAATTATGTCATTTCTAATAATCATTTACGTCCACCTCTCCCCAGCCAACTGGATAACCAAAATCTCCAGCAGGAATATAAGAATTAGATGGTAGCATAATTGGTTGAATTGTAGGGGAAAATTTAATTTCTTGGGTCACACGTATTAAACCGATGTCATTAACTTTTCTTGGTTCATTGTAAGTTGTAGGTCAAATAAATTCTTCTGCAAAATACGTAACACCACTTTTGTTCATGTAATTTGTTCCAGCAACGATAGTGTAGACTTTTGGATTTTTGCTGTAAAGTAATGCAGCACGATTAGATAGATTATCTTAACATTAATCTTTTTCTGATAAATTACTTACTTATAAATACATTGTGCAACTGTAAGTATATGACGGTTGTTAATGATGGTGCCACCACATAGCAGACTATTAGAGTACATTATTCTCACCATAGAGGGTACTAGGGCATCTGAAGCATTAGAGGCTCCAATAATTCGTTCATCCAGAGAACCTACATAAAAAAATGATGTACGTCAAATAAATTGATTAATTGCATTTTAATTACATTCCAAAAATCAACACACTTTATCACTAATATTGTACAGTATTAATCTTCAATCAACAATTGGTGAGTTTTTCGTTATTAAGACAATTCGAGTGATAAATATTTAATAAACTCACCGTAGACTACAGAAATTAAACATTAAAGAAGGGCCAGCGAACGCATTATGGTAGAAACTGAAAATTAATAATCAAATTGATTAGCATCTGAAACTAAGCGCGATTAATGTCAGCATCACTTATGTGAAGTTTCATGAGTAATTCCAGATCGTTCCTTTCATATACGTACGTACCTATTTGCACGAGTATTGAAGAATGTATATGAAACAACATGGACATGATACAAACAAGAGGAAGTTTAAATATTAATAACATTTCATGTTAGTTCAAGACTGATTTATCTTCTAATAACACTTTTTCTTTTAAATGTGTTTTATTTCTATGTGTTCGAGATTGTACGTTTCCTCCCTGTACACTTGAATGTAAATAATGAGATACATTGATATTTCACTGTGTTCGAATATTAATTGTTAATTTTAAATAATATTTTAAATTTTAATATGCGCTTGTAACTACTTATAGGTCGAAATCAGGCAATGAGGTATTGCTCTACGTGAACACGGATTTAAGAATTTCTTTTGAAGCTGTGACATATAAAGAAGTGATTAGAGTAAGATCAAAAGTAACGTAAAAGATAATAACTGATGCTCTAGTAGAAAAATGATGAATGATCGATGAATAATGTCGAATCCTTTCCGTACTTACTTTCTTGCCTGATCGAACATCACATTTACGTATTTTCAGCAAAATTTCGGGACTGGCAAAGCAGTCAACGTATGATACCTGTTACGTGTTCTGTTATTATCTGCGAGGTAAATTGATATCAAAGATTAAGCGGAAATATTGGTTAATTTGATTATTTTTATCAATATGTGTTCCAGATATATTACTTTCATTTTAGCCATGTACTCTTTATCTTTTGGCAAAGTTCTAAAGTGTAATCCTGTGATATTTGCCGTGGCGACGAATATGGCACGACCCCATATAGCCCGCCATGCCGCCGAGGGTGGTGGGTACGAATCCCACACTACCCCCGCTCCTCCCCCGGGAGGTGGGGGCGTCTTTCGAAGATTACCCCTCGTTAAAAAAAAAAAAAAGACCTGTGATATTTTGAGAATTTGGAAGTTCATTGATTTTTTATGTTTGCAGTTTCAAATTTAGAATCTCCGAGTTTTCAGAATACTGATGCATGAAAACCTTGAAACTTTAAAATTTGGAAACTATGGAATTTTAAGATTTAAAGACTTTAGAATTTTTAAAGTAGCGGAATTTTTTAATTTTGGAATGTTGGAAGATGAGAATTTTGAAACAGTGGTTTGGGACGTTTGCACTTTAAAATTTTTAAACATTGGGTCTTTTGAGACTATAAAATTGTTTTATTTTAATTATACATCTATTTTAACTACTTCAAACTGTAAAAGCTTCGAAGCTTTGTTTCTGTAAATATTATCTCGCGAGTATATCAAAGCGACGAATGTTGAATTAGTAGTCGTATATCAATGTAATCAACGTGTTGCACATAGTTCGTCATAAACGTCTGAGTACTCACCATTCGTGAGTTGTACATTGTTATTGCGAATTATTCATAATAAGATAAACAGATAATAAAGTGTGAAAAAAACAGGTACTACATAAACTGTGAATAAGACTCCGTATAAACAATGACGCTATAAACATGATATTATGCAGAATACAGCAAAATTAACGAAAATAATATTAAACACATAAAATAGTGAATGTAAATTCCATAAGTTGTTCTTAAGTAACGCGTTAAAATGGTTGCAGTATTTTTAGCAAATTATGTAATACATTTGTAACAACCCTGAGACCTAAGTTCAGTTTATTACAAGCGCTAAAAGGTAAAGAGCGGTTTTTACCCCTAAACGACTCGATTTTAAGAATAAAGATTGTGGGATTCGTGTGGTGTGCGGTTAAGGAGTGAAATTCACAGGTCAAAATCTTTCAACAATTGAAATCCACAGGTCAAAATCTTTCAACAATTAGATTTATTCAATAAACGATAAGAAATGAAACTAACAAACAACAATAACAACAAAATAAAGAAATATATATAAAAATTATAAATGATTGATTAGTATAAAGAACTAAATAGATCTTGAATAATGATAATAATAGAAATAATAGAAATTGATAAATTAAACAATATGTAATAGATAATTATGAATTTAATGATATGAGACTCGCTGGTCAGTACTTTATATTGGACCGTATCTAATTCTGATCTATGATAAAGTTAACTTTGCATTTGTAATATTAACTAAATTTGATATTCCTTATATATATTCGATTTTCGTGTTTGAAGTTATCGCAGTGACAAGACTTTACTTGATTAACACGCTTGTGATTTATAATGAATCCTACCTAAGTGTGATTCGGTTTCTAACTTAATATAAATGAAATTTTACAAAATTAGTAATGTTAGCGCTTTTATAGTCTACCGCCGCGAGGAATTCGACCTAAGTGAGATTCTCTAAACGTATTAGGATACGTTTTCGCAAAATTAGACAGATTTATCTACTATCTAACACGGTGTAGTCGACTACGGAAATGTACGCTAGAGACAGAACAATATTCCTTTACTAATTCAACTTCCAAAATTTATCTAAAGTTAATAAATATTTTCGCGGAAAATATTACCTACTCTAAATCAAAATTATAAGATAACTAATATAAATGATAATATATATATATATGTGTACTGATTACCGACTGTCGAATTTGATAGATATGGTAATAGATACCTAATGTACTGTCGATAATTGGCAACTACGGTCGATAATTGACTATTCTAATCGATGGATAGAAGATTGTCGCGATGATGCCAGTAGAAAGAAAAAAAAGGTTTCCCCAGGGACGTTACACATTTTTAGTATTCTTATCTAATGTATCTTCAAATATTTCTTTGAACGTATCATGTGATTAAAAACATTATTAGCACCTTCGAATATTCCTCACAATTTTGATTTAATACCATATAAATCCGTAACGACAAATTTGTAAATATTTATTTTTGGTTTCCAGAATTGGTTGTTTTGATAACATGCGACTTTTTATCAAGAGAACGATTGTACTTGTTAATTTATATGCTATTTTTATCAACTAATTTTCCAGCGTTTGTTCATGTATTTCTACGATTTACATTCAATTTAAAATTAAACAACATCAAAATGTTTAATCAATGGCACAAATACAACTGATCAATTTGTAAATAAACTGTTTTCAGTTTTACCAGTAATAAAATTCTTCTCTTCCTGTTCTTACGTAACGAAAGGTTTGCACGGTTCTTAATTTTCAAAGTAAACTCCCCTTTGTCAACTTGTTGCCGCTCATGGTATATTATCTTATAGTATATATTTATAACATGGTTTCCAAATTAATTTCAATATCACCGAGAATGAAGACAAAGTAGATTAGTCTTATCAATGAAATTATGCAGAGTGATCTCCCGGAAAGAAGGGTTGTTCATCTTATATAAAGGCAAAATTATGCGTACATATTTGTGCTAATCCAAACATCACCATGAACTGCAACCAAGACGCACTTTTATCTTCTCTGCTCATTCTTGCTGGTATAAGTCTTCATATTTTTTAAACAATTCGTTTTCACTAAATTATGTGATGATCATTCTATTAAAATTTATAAACATCTTTTGTATTGTGGAAAGTTGTTGTTCTTTAAAATTATTATTTTTGGTGTCCACTGTAATTGTACAAAGTTTAAATCGGTGTCACTTACTGAAAAGCACTGAATCAACTAAAATAGTATCATATGTGTTCGTTCTTCAGTTATAGTTAAATGTGGATCATGTGAGCAAACTCCAGTCGTTGGATATGTTCCTGGAGTTAGTGGCATGTCTACTGTAAATGTGAAAAATTGTGAGATACCTGAAACCTTGACGGATGTACCTCTATCAAATGCCCTCGAGTGTAATCGTCCCTGTCATGTTGGGCAGAAACCAAAAACTTGTTATTACAAATTCGTGCTTGAACGTTATCCCGTCAGCGGGCAGTAAGTATCATGTACATGAAAAACGTTCAATTTAAAAGTACTATAATTTATACATAAGCGTAGTACCTTTATGACCGCTTCTAAAGACAGTCATTCCAAATACGAATACATAAATGCAAATGAAATTTGTATATAGAATGTTCAATAGAATCAACATATGTAATTAACAAGTATGAAATTCCATTACAAGAAGAAGCACAAATTTTTATACGTACAACAGTATATCTTTGTTAGATGAACAGATTATTCGCAACAATTTCAATAAGAACGTATTGGGTTACAGTACAGAAAGTCCTAATTTGTCATTTGTTTCAAATTTTTTTATAAAATGTTCTCCAAACCCATACAGTAACCGTTTTGCATAAAATGTCAAAAATTTTCAAAACGTACAGAAGAAACGTTTGGTACGAAATATAAGTACCTTCTGTATAAATGTACAAGCAAACAACACATACACATACGTAAATTATATGGTCTTGTAAAGCCTTATTTTATTAAATGTTTTATTACTAATTTGTTTGTATTACCGGTTATACAAACATTTTGCTTTTCATTTTTTTTTAGAGCATGCAATTTCTGTACCCCTAATGTCACAAATACATTGTGTCCCAATTGTCAATGCATAACTAGCGACGGAGTGGAGCGTATGGCTTTAGTTGTGAACCGAATGCTACCAGGACCGAGTATACAAGTTTGTCTAAATGATCGTGTGGTGGTCGACGTTTTGAACAAAATTCCAGAAGATGGAGTGACGATTCATTGGCATGGGGTGTATCAGAATGGATCTCAATATTATGATGGTGTACCTGCATTAACCCAATGCCCTATTACGTCTGGCACAACTTTTAGGTAATGTTACGTCGTTATTAAGTAAATAAAGAAGTAATTGCTTGCGTTTATAAATATAATTGAATATAGATATAAATACAAATATCTATTTGTGCTGTAAACACATATTTAGTTAGACATTGAAAGGTATTCTATTCATCAAATTTTGCGTAGTTTGTGTTTTCAATGCACAATGAATGAACAATGATAAATCTGAATCGTGTATGTGGAATGAAAAATTGTATCTCTTTCAGATATCAGTTTCCCGCGAAGAATGCTGGCACCCACTTCTGGCATGCTCATACGGGATTAAACAAGATGGACGGCGTTTTCGGTAGCCTTGTTATAAGAGATCCAATAGAACAAGATCCTTATTCGAATCAATATGATTTTGATTTAGCAAATCACGTGATAGTCATTAGTGACTGGTTTCACGAAGAATCGTCAGAAAGATTCCCAGGCCGCAATAATATAAGTGGTGTAACTGGTCAAACTCCTGATACGTTTCTGATCAATGGAAAAGGAAAATACTTGGTAAATGCGTTTGATATCAAGTACCATTTGCACGTGATCATTTGGCAATTCAATATATTGTTGATACTATTGATCCATCATCAGACGCGCATTGTGCTGAATGACGTTTGTTTGACAATCTATGATACATAAAATAAACACAGAATAATACCATGATGTGTGGTGTCACATATACGTGATTTTCAAAATTAACTTAAATAAACGATTTTTGAGTACGTTGTGATGGTATTGGGATGAAAACAATTAAATACGACAATGGAAAAGAATTTTGCCATGGTAACATTTTGCTAGAAAGGGAGGAGATGCAAAGTGAACCTTTTATGTGCAATAATTAAGTGCAATAATAGAACAGATTGTCTAGGAAAATATTAAATAAATTGATATCGGTTGTAATTAACATTTCATTTATGTTATAGACCGTCAATAATGACACAGGGAAGGGAGCTTTCGAAGTAATAACTGTAGAAGCCAATAAACGTTATCGTTTCCGTTTGGTCAATGCGTTTTGTGCCAACTGTGCTGGCCAATTGATGATTGAAGGCCACAACTTGACCGCTATCGCGACGGATGGACAATATATTGAACCCGTCGCTGTGGATGCTATTGTCTCATTAGCAGGTAAATTGGCAATTAATAAGTGATATTGTAGTAAAAAGAATACTGTGCACCGAGGCACAAAAATCATAAGTAGTATTAGTTTATTTATTTACTGTAACATATATTAATTATTAGTTATACTGAATCCATTTATTGAACTACGGAAACAAAATGTTACACGTCATATCAAACGTTCTTATCAAAGCTTTGATTAGCAGCATAAGAGAGGTAGAACTCTCTTAGGGAAGCTAACAATAGTAATAACTTACAATGTGCTTTTCATCATTTTATAATCTATTCTCATGTACCAAAACTTTATCCAATAAAGATTGTGTGTATTCTTTTTAGGCGAACGATATGATTTTATCATAAATACTAATCAAGAGCCTGGTACTTATTGGATACAACTTCGTGGATTAACTGAATGTACAACACCAAATATTCATCAGTTAGCCTTATTGCAGTATGTAAATGCATCTACAGAACCAAAAACTCCACAGCCTTCTTACGGTGAAATCCCTTCGAATGTAGTATGTTTTTCTTTATTTTTATTGTCGTTTATGTACATATACGGGGTGTCCCACTTGTAGTGAACCATGCAAATATCGATAGTTATTTTTCATAAATATTCGTTATTAAAAAATACGTTTCAAAAAACAGTAATGCAAGCTTGTGTTAGCATTTCTTTTAATTTGATCGAGGTAGAGAATAAAATAAGTGATTAATATCTCGTAATAGAATTAGAAGTCGAGACACATGATCTCGACATACATAGTTGACAGTATTCATATATGTACGTAATGCTGTGATAGCCAAGTCAAATGTATTGCCGATAAAAGGCACTTTTCATATTATGTCAAGAAATATGAAAGATAATTCCATTTTTATTAATGGTGTCATATTTTAAATAAGCATTTTTTTCAGATCATTTTCTAGCACCGCGTCAACAATTATTTAATAACACGTTTGATATTCATATCTTATTACATTTGTGCAGAAAAAATTAACTTCTAGCAATATAAGTCGAACGTCTACATTATTTTCACTACAAGTAAAAATACAAAAAGATAATCGAAGCTTAAGCGGTTTTAAGTAATTTCACATAAAGTTTTCTTCATAAATTTTGATTTTCATATCGTTTCAAGACATAAATTAGACAAAAAATTCGTCTTAAAATCATTGTCGTTTCATCACGAAATTAATTTACATGACAACTTAAGTGGGACACACTGTATGTATCCGTTCACGTTACACAACCTGCATACAAACAATATTTTTTGTATCGTTTTAACACTCGTGAAATAATGACATTAGCACGAATATGTGTTTAAATGCTCGTCATATTGTAATTTAAAAATATTCTGAACAATGAACATTAATGAAAACGTTTTTCTATAATTGATAAAGCAAATTATTTATCTCGAAACTATGCTATCGACCAAAAATTTAAACAAGTTTGTTACAACAATAGATTTTAAATCCAGTGGACATTCCCTGCAACAAAACGAATTCGCATGTGATATGTATAAGCAACTTAACGCATGCCTCGGATATTGAATCTGACGTTGGGCAAGGCGAAGCAGATTTAAAGTTTTACATGCCTATTGACTTTCGTGCGCCCTCACCCGACACCTTTTATCAGCCTAACACGTACGAAGATTTTTTGAGTAAGATTCTCCCTCAAATTTTTAAATTATGTATGCTATTGTGGAAATTGGTTGTATTCCTTTATTATTTTTATTTTTAAACATTTGTACAGTTCCAACGCCAGATATCATTGTTTTGGGAATTATGGACAACATTCAATTTGTTTTCCCACCATCACCACCACTGTCACAGTATGAAGATCTACCTCCGAATCAGTTTTGCGATTCTGAAAATTTGCCAGATGATTGCAGCGGCAATTGTAGTTGCACGCACGTGTTGAAAATACCGTTGGACGCTGTAGTGGAAGTGATATTAATTGACGTATGTGAGTAGTCAAATAAAATGCAGTGTACTGCAATAATATGCAATTAATCATTCCTCTTACGATAAATTTTTAAATTTTCGAAATTCTAAACTTTTAAATATCTAAATTTCAGAATTTCTATATTTTAGATTTTTAGATTATCAAATTTATAAACTTTTGCACCAACTGACAATTCTTAACTTTAAAAAGTTCCACAAGTTTGAATTATCACGTCACCAAATTTATAAATTCTCAAATTCTTAAATCTTCCAAATCCCCTAATGAGTAAAGATAAAATGTTCATATTACAAAATTAAAAATTCCTACATTTCTAGAAAATTTAAATTCGTTTAAAATTTAAATTTAAACGTGCTAATTCATCCTTTAAATTTCTAAATTTCTAAATTCCTCAATTTAAAAATTTTCTAATACACAAAAATCTAAATTTCGTTTAAAAATAAAATCTAATTGTGTTTAACTTCTGATGTATTAATTATTGCAGCCGGTATACCAGAGCTGTTTCATCCTTTCCATTTGCATGGTTATGCATTTCGTGTCCTAAGTATGGGCCAACCATTAGGTCCTCCCACAAATGAAAGTTTAATAAGTCTAGATTACGTGAAGGAGCTGGATAGTGAGACTAATTTAAACAGAAATTTTGATAATCCTCCAGGAAAAGATACAATTGTTCTTCCAAATAACGGATACGCGGTAATCAGATTCCGTGCGAATAACCCAGGTACGTATACTTCTGATTCAGAACTACTGCCATGAAAATTAATAACCATAAACGTTCCATCTCGAATAATTCGAACTCGCTTTAATTTTGTTTGCTATATTGTGCAAAGATTACAAAGCACGTTACATATGCTACAAATAAATTAATTCGTATTTATTTATGATCAAGGGTTTTGGTTGTTCCACTGCCATTTTATTTTTCATCAAGATGCCGGCATGGAGCTCGTTTTTCAAGTTGGGCACCAAAGTGATGTACCACCGGTGCCAAAGAATTTTCCACGATGTGGCAATTTTATGCCGAATATTAAACGTGTAAATCAAAATTGTGACGCAAAATACAATTGAAACGAATAAAATAAAAAGGGAAGAAAGGAGAGGGAAGAAGAGAATGTATTAATAATAGATGCTGGAAAGGGTTTTGATCCCTGGTAATTTCTTTATGATTGCATTCGCACGTTCGTGGAATTTTACACCGTATTTTATAAAATGTATTCCATATTGTGCGAAAAAATATTCTCTTTAAAGAGAAATAAATATTGATGTTATATGTTGAGATAATTCCGTTTTTATCCTTGTGTTATATTTGTATTTTTTTAACCCGGAACAAACATGCAAACTGATCTCTTGTATACTTTGAAATTGCACCCTTCAGAACTATGAAGACTAACTACGAAGTAAAATTAATTAACAATCATTACGATCCATAGAAATACCAATCAGTATTTAAAACTTCCTATAACGTTAATTCAGTATGTTAAAATCTGTTTAATTTTAACTGATGAACTCTATTAAACTTTTAATACAGTTTTTGGATTTCAGAACGGTGAAACTATATCACCGCTCAATTTCATTTCTTCGCGCGTTTACTTGGCGGTGGATTGAATTAATTTAAATATTTCAGTACTTATATTTATTCAGTTTTATTTGTAATCATTCATATTCATTTAAATTTATTCAATTACATTTGTTCGTATTTACACGTTACACGAAATGTAAATATGTTCTGGATGGTGATGCATTACATACAGGGTGTCTCACAACTAGTGTAGGTTCCTGAACTGGGGGCAGCTGACGTGATTTTGAATAAGATTTCCCTTTGTAAAAATGGGGTTTGAAGCTTCGTTTTTGAATTATTAACGAAAGACACCAATGAACGAGGTAGTGATGGGTTTGAGCATGAGGGACTGTGGTCGTGAACAAGAGTGTTAGTTCCGTGATACATGAACGTTATGTTTTAAATATCTTGATTCCTAAATTTTCAAGTTTTTACATATTTTAAGCTTTAAAACTACACATCTTTCAATTTTTAATTTTTGGATTTCTAAATTGCCAAATGTACAAATCCTGCAACACGGACCAATCAGAGCGCGAGGATTGCGCATGCGCAGACGCGAGAGCGACAGCTTCGAACCTAGCGGCTGAGCGCGCGTAATCCTTGCGCTCTGATAAGTCCGTGTTTTTCCTTAATAATTCAAAAACCAAGCTTCAAACCTCATTTCTACGAAGGGAAATCTTGTTCAGAATGACATCTTCTACCACCCCTTTCAGGGAGTAACACTAGTTACGAGACACCCTGTAGATATACTGTACGCATAAACGGAAATAATATTAGTTTAAATGTTTAAATTCACAACATATGACAGTTGTTATAAAAACTGATTAACGGATAGGTAAATAAATTGCACAGTTACAAAGTATTTCGCTTTAAAAATAATATATACATTATAATGTACAATTTAAAATTAAAAGATGTATAAAAACCTTACGCTAGTAACGAGCACTTTCAATTGTACAAATATTAAATGTCCTGCAGCTTAACAATCTAGATAATTAAATATGACCGACTATATTATATGATGTCAACAAGTGAGAAGACATATAATCCAAGCTAACAATTTTATAATCTTATAAATCGTGAAAATAATTAAGTAAGTATCGAACCAATGACTTTTAAGGCTTGTAGAAAATTACCACTAAATTTTAATTAAACTTTATCTTCGTTTTCTACACTTTATATTATTCCTTCAAACATTATTGCTGCTAACATAATTCATTCGTATTAAAATTAATATGGCTTTGATCAATGTACTGTTAGATACGTTTCGTAGGTCTTTATCACAGTTGATCAGGCACTATCATTAAACTATTAATATAAATTATATCTTTTATTAAAATAGTATACATATATACCTAAGTATGCACTTTTCAGCAAATGTTAATTATCCATGTTACATAATTAGAATATTTCGAAAAGAGCTGATATTTATCAGTCGATCAGAGGATATTACTTTCAAGGAACTAATATATCTATAGCAAATTTGAATATGACACAAGCGTTAATATTGTGAGTGACAATACAATCCATATATTGATGTGAATATGATTCGTAGCGTTTATCTGAACGCACTCAGTCGATTCTAACATTACTTGTATCCATTTCGTGTACGGGTACACTCTAGTGTAGACGTCGGGAGATCCGGTAGCACAGGGTCGACCATAAGAAACAACTCCAATTTGGACACCATTGAGAACCAAAGGACCACCAGAATCACCCTGAAGCAGATATTGCGAATTATAAATATGCCACATTTTATTATTCTGATATACAGGGTGGCTCATCACATTTTGCCATCTAGATTTGCGTCATTATTATTACTCATAGCAAACAATGTTCCAGATGAAGTTGCATAGTTTTGAGGGGGACATATGCTGGTGCTATATATTTTTTGTAGGTGGATGTGTAAAGGACATATGAAGATTATTAATGTTTTTTTAAATGGAATCATATATTTTTTATTGCATCAGTTGATACTCCTTCATATTCTTTACAAAAAAGTATTAACCTATTTATGCGAAAAAAATCATTAGTTTAGGAGGTATTTTAAATTTAACTTGTTAGGAAATCGTGACTTTCTGGTCAATAATGTGAATTGCCCTAACTGAACAGCAAATGTTTTTCTACATGCTTTGAGAGGTCACGTGTCACCAAACGAATTGTGAGCTTTTGTTTTTTTTGTTACGCAGTAACAATTAAATTTAGTTTCTGTTACGTCTCTAATACGGTGAATACGACGATACGGTGAATTATCACTTCATGATGAAGTATTCTAAAGAAGAAAAAATAGACATGTTATCAGTTTATTTTGAAGCTGGGAAAAGTGCTACACATGCATAAAGATTATACACTACGGAATGTTAGTAAGTCATTAATTTCTCGATTCAGAAAGTTCTGATGCAAATGGTCGCCACATTGAACCCTTTCCGTAAATAGACATTAGAATTAAAATATCTCCTAAACTAATGATTTTTTCACTTAAATAGATTAATACTTTTTTGTAAAGAATATGATGGAGTATGAGTTGATGCAATAAAAAATATGATTCCATTTAAAAAAACATTAATGACCTTCATATGTCCTTTACACGTCCACCTACAAAAGAAGTATACCACCAGCATATGCCCCTCTCAAAACCATTCAGCTTCATCTGAAACATTGTTTACTATGAGTAATAATAATGACGCGAATTTAGATGGCAAAATGTGGTAAGCCTCCCTGTATAAAATTGTAATAATACATATAAAACGAGGATTGAATAATCATTAATCCATTAAATATTGTATGATGCAGACACGATAGTGGGCACCCTTAAGTTGGTAAATATAAAAAATACAAAATTAGAAAAACCACAAGTTTAACAATTGAAAAAGTAGAAGGTTATAAATGGTTACAGTTTGAAAGTGGAAAGCGTTAACAATAAATTTTGTAGATAATGAAAATAGACGCTTAAAATGAAAATTGTTTGCTTATTGTAAAGAAGTGAAAATTTGCGACTTGTGTTTCCGAGTGTGTTAAATTAATGTACGTTAATAAATTTTTAAAAATGTGAGAAACTTAATTTAATGGGGAAACTGTAACAATCTATAAATACTTTCCAATGTAAAGAAGACGTCTTAAGAAAATAGCACAAACTTGTAAAACATTTACGTTTTTTAAACGCAAATTATAGCGTCAGGAAATATAAAGTTAAACCTGATCGTTACACATAATTTCAGTACTACATAATTAAAAATGAGGTTACTTACAAAGCAAACACCTATGGTTTTGTTCGTGTGCGTACATATACTATTTTTCGACAACTCCCAATAATATCGGTCACACAACGATTGAGATATCACCACCACGGAAAGTTCTTGCAATGTAACAGGACTTGATCCCGTTTTCTGTTGGAAAAAAGAAAGTTTGTCAATTACTAAAAGATTTAATTAGAAATTTAATTTTTTACAATTCTATTAGATGACTTGCTATACTATGATACACCTAAAAGAAATGATTCATTAAATGCAATTTAAAGGATGACGTAAGTGGTTTTGTGGTTCTGACTCATCTCAGAAGGTAAGATAATGATTAAGTATTAATTTAAAAACAAGAAACATGCTAAAAGATTTCTTTGATAAGCTTTGTTTTCATATATTTGCATTATAGCACGGCAAATAGGTAGCAGTTTGATTTTGTTTTAAACAATAAATAGGAATGAAAGATATATTATAATACTATATATTACAACAGCATCGAAAAGTACATTTATAATTTTGCAGCCATGATTTTCTTTTCTTAGGATATGGAGTCGGAGTAACAAGGAATAAGGAATTCTGGAAACAGAATTTTTCTGTTTTTCCTGCCATTTTTCTACGCTGTATTTTCTTGTGATAAGAAACATTACACATGAATTGTACTAATCACATTTTAGCTATGAAAGGAAGATTTTTAAAATGACTTACGTTCAACCTTCCCCATCCACTTATAACAGCAGTTTCTCCCTCAGGGACGTAATACGTGGATGGAAGTATAACTGGTTGAATACTACTGTTGAATATGATATGTTTAGTCAGGCGTATTAAACCGATGTCATTAACAATTTTTATTTCGTCATAATTGATAGGCCAAAGTAACGCTTCTGCCAAATATGTTTCACCGCCTTTGTTTAAGTAAATAGTTCCAACAACTACCTTAAAGAGTTTTGGATCTAGACTGTAAAGTAATACAATACGATTAGACCAATTACATGTAATTATTATACATTAATATGGGCAGGATGTGAGTAATGATTCATGTGATGTATCATTTTTGGTATAACTATAATTACGATGTGGACTTTCGTTATATTGCCATTGGAGAGTCTCTAAGAGGAAACAGTGATACTCAAAATGTGTTTTGAATTATTTAATTTACAAAATTATAGATGTCTTGATTTTTGGATAATCAATTTCTCAGTTGGCCTAATTTCCGAAACACAGATTTGCACATTTCTAAATTGCTAAATGTTTGAGTTTTTCAATCCACAGCGGTTGCAGATTCAAAAACAACAAATTTCGAAACTCCCTAATTTGAATGTTCTTTACAAATTTTGTAATTTCTAAAACCTTAAAATTCCATATGAATTTGTAAATTCTCAAATTTCCATATTTCGTAATTTTTGAAGTCACAAAATATCAAATTTTGAAACTGGCTAAACTCTCAATCTCTTAAAACCACTATTTCCAATTTTTCAAATGTTAAAAAAAAAAGACACGTTCCAGAATTTTGAAAATCTCGGAAACCTACATAATCGACGATATTTAACGAACACCACTTTCTATAATACTTACCGATAAATGCAGTGCGCGGCTGTAAGTATGTGACGACTATTAATAATGGAGCCACCACACGTGAGAATATTTCGGTATTTTACTGCTACCTGATAGACAAATCTGCCTTCCTGAGCAGCATCGCCCCCAACGATTCGTGCATCTAGAGAACCTATGAAATAACATATATTAAATAAATAAAATAACTGTATCTCCACTGTATCTCAAAGATGAAAATACTTTACTAATACTATAGCATTAATCTTCAAGTAGTAGCTTTTAAGTTCTTTACTATTTAACACGTTGATACTGAAGCAATTGAAAATTGTATTAGGTAGTATTTTCATTGTTAACAAATCTTATATAGTATTTTCACAATATTATTGATAGTTTCAAAAAATTAATACGAGTATCTTCAATTAGGTAAGTGAACAAATTCTTAATAATATAGATGCTAGATCTGTACAGAAATTCACTTGTCACCCATATATGAGTAACAGTCAAATATATGAGTGGCAGTCAAAGAGTTAAACAGTTCGAAGTATGCGTTTAACGAACTCACCGTTGACAACAGAAACTGCGTATAACAGAAGAATCAGCAATCGCATGATGATGGAAACTGAAAGTTACTTATGTTTTCGCTCTTCTACATTCGCGTATATCGGTGATTAATCGACGAACGTGTAAACTAAGACGCGATCAATCTTAACGTCACTTATCTCAGGTGTCACACACAAATCCGTATCTACTAATGCATGTATCTACTAATATAAATATTAAACAATACAAATAAAAGAAGAGGGATGTTATATAAAGTGAAACGTTCAATATTATCAATATTTGTTTACGACGTTTTATCTTTTGATAATACCCATTGTTCACTTCAATGTATAGGTATGTCACTTCCACGAATTTGTGTTTATAAGCATTCCAAATTTTACGCTTGAAAATGTTAAGCGATAAATTCATAGTTTCACTATGGTCGAATATTGATTATTGAATTTCATTTATTACTTGTCAGACAGGCTTGAAATTCTGCTCAGGAAATGTCACTCATAAAGAAATGATATAATGTGAAGATTAATTTGAAAGTGAAAAAGTTTGAATAAAAAGAAGAGGAACGTATGGTCCATAATTGCCGTAGAATCTCATTCGCACTTTCCTTATCGTCTGATCTAACATTACGTTTGCATTTTCGTAGCAGAAGCTCAAGTTCAATCAAGCGATCGACCAATGCCAGTTTTGACCTGAAATCGATGTCTTCGATAAGATGGATTACTGTTTATCATTGATAACTCTTCTTGGAAAACATTTGAGCTGTGGAACAAAGTTCAAGACATTACTGTCGGCAGCAGTTTGAAAATAATCCCAAAATTATGAATCTTTTTTGTATCAATCCAGACATTGATCACCTTCAGTTTAATCACTTAAGTCATAGATTATGTCATAAGATAAGATAAAAATAAAAAAAATATGACGTTGTAACAATATCGATCTTTCGCTATCGGACGATGTAGAAGTTTGCAATGCGAATTTGTTGATTGACAATCACTAGCCTTAGTATAAATATCACTCTCGCGGCAGCAAACACGGCAGAATCCTACTGATCTCTTTTGGGAGAGAACGTGGAATCTGTCCAGCGAATTTCCTGACTTTCCTGTGCGATCTTTCAACGAATTTTCCTATAATGGGGCACAACCAGAAGGCAGATTCTTACGACTTCACCTCCGGTGTCCAAGACTCCTCCAACAGCCAGAAAACTATATCTGATCATCAGATCTCTCCAGTTCAATTGTCCACGCCTCAATCTGTGAAATTATTATTCTCGTTCAACGCTAAACAACCTGTTGAACGTTGCAGTTTTTCAAAGTGTAGCGCACGATTCGATCCTTTCTACGATTACGGAAAAATCAACGAGTTTACCTCAACGATTACTATTTTTAAAGATAACGAAAACATTAGCGACAAGGATGCTTTAAGAGAATTTCACCTTCTGCTGGAAGGGCGGGCATTGGATTGGTGGAGAGGCGTACAAAAAACCATTTCAACGTGGCAAGAGGCGATCGAGCTACTAAGATCTGAGTTCGCTCCACGACTACCAGCTTATGAGGTCTACATGGAGCTGTTTGGAACAACCCAGAGTGACGACACATCCATTGATGAATTCGTCGATAGAAAACTGGCCTTGTTTGCAGAACTAACTGAACCATTCTCTGAAAGGATCCAATTGGATATGATTTACGGACTCCTACGCTTATCGTTGCGAACAAAAATCGTGCGAGAGTCTGTCTCCAGTTTTCAAGATCTGATCGAGCGGGCCCGAGAAGTTGAAGGTTTGGAGAAAGAAACAAGGAATGGTATAGAGATACCGCTACATTCTTGTGGGCGCGGAGTAGACGGATTTGTAAGGAGCAAATGTTCAGATTGCACGAAGAATGTTAACGAGAGTTCAAATCAAGCTCAACTGTGTCCGGTTAAGTCAACGACGATGGTGAGTACTCGTTCCACCGTACAACCACCTATCGTTGACAAGCAAAGTGAGACAATTAATACCGGCGAAAAATGCTCATTCGTAAGCCAAAAATTGTTTGAATTGCTGAAGAAGGAAGATGTAAGATTCGAGCATCAACAGATGTGCATTGAGTTACCCGACGGTCGTTTACGAGTGTGGAATGTTCTGGTTCTAACAGAATTAGAAATTCACATTCAAAATAGCATGATAAAATCAAACCTTATAGTATTACCAGAGAGTGATCGTGATAAGAGCATTTTGAAATTAGACTTCATTGACGACGCTGAAACACATTTCGAATTTACTGAAAAGATTAGTGAAATTAGTGAAACAACTTCAAATTTTTCGGATGAGGAATCGATGACGGATTGGGAGGAGCTAGAAGAGTTAGCTAAATCGCCACCACAATTATTGAGCCCACTAGGAGAACTTTAGAAACGTATTACGAAAATATCCCAGATGGAATTATTTACCGAGAAATCTGCAGAAAAAGGCTTTGAATTGTTTGAAAGTGCTTACGACCATCAGCCGTTGAAATGGCTCATGACTGAAGTTTCCAAGCGGACGATTGGTTCGACCTCTTCTACTGTAACCATACTATCAAAAAATTCAGTATATCCCAATGTCGTTGCTCACTTGTCCAGGTTACAAAACAGAAACTAAGAATAAAAAAGAAAGGTCAAACGTGGCTGAATTTGCAATGGACATTGCCTATCGAGAACCAGTAGTAACCTGGGAGGAACAAGTGTTTATAAGTTATGGAGGAACCCTCATGGCAGATCTGGTTAACGAAGGTTGTAGGGCTTCGCGCCACAAATCCAATGTGCGTTGTAATTGTGATAAGAGGTTATGATTGAGGGTATTGATCAGATTGTGAGGGTATGATGGTTCTTGGACCTTTATGCTTGACGATCAGACCAACGAAGGTTGTAAGGTTTCACATATACAAAATGTATTCTCGTACCTTGATGACGATGGTCGTCGAGTGATAGATGGCTATCGCACGAATATTTGAGATGAAGGCTCGTCGAGTGAATTGGTACTCACGAGAGATCCTTAGTAAGACTGAACCAGTTGCCAAACGTAACACCTGAGAGCATGAAAGGGCAAGGTTGAGCCGTATAGATGTAACTTTAGAGGAACAATCAGAGTCAGTATGTGGTAAAAACACCGATTGATGACAATGGATGAAAAATTGTCACAAGTGTCAACACATGTTCGAACGTGATTCTGGAGAGCAGGGAGCCTCCTACGAAAACGAGTCCCTACTGCACGAATTCCTATTGGACTGAAAATGATAAGAAGCAAGAAAATGATAAGAAGAAAATGATAAATATAAACTCTGCTATAGTCGGATATTAGTTCCTCAATTTTACTGATAAGTAAAATTGTACTTATGATAATAAGTACTTGAAGATCAAAATTAGTTTCGTATGAACACAAGCTAGAAAATTCCACTCCAAAAATCTGATTTATGATTAGATTAAGGCGAAGATTCAATTGAAGGTTATCTAACGCTTGAATGAAAAGAATATACCGATAATCACCGTAAAAGTCTGGTCGTTATATTTCCGCCTGACCTTCAGATTTGTGAATATATATTTTTTACAATATTTCGTTTGAACAAGCTGTAACATCCCGCGGAACCGTTTTTTTTTTGTACAAAACCACACACTAGATCTATTATCGACAGTAGTTGCCAATTACCGACAGCACATCACGTATCTATTACCAATTCTATTAGATTCGACAGTCGGTAACCAATATATATATGTATATATATATTCATTTATAATAATTATCTTATGGTTTTTGATTTAGAGTAGGTAATATTTACTGTAAAAGTAATTGAATATTAAGTTAGAATAATTAAAACAAGATTATGTATCATTTTATTTTAATTCTAATAAATGGGTTGTTTTAGCAGCTGGTGAATAACAGGCTCCTATCAAAGAGCCAAAAAGATTCTTGATACTTGATTGGTAAAGCGGGTATACGCCATTCGGTTACTTGGTCGCTGGGTTGTTTTAGCAGCTGGTGAACAACAGGCTTCCCGTTCAAGCGATTTTGTAACTGAAACTCCGTTAGGTGAGTGCTATACTTAGCGCCAAGAAAGGCTAAGACATCGAACGAAAGCTCTCAGCTACTTATATTTGATTTTTGGTCGAATTGCTAACGCGCCATCAGTTTCTCGGAACTCGCTCTGGGTAATTTCGTAGCCAGCGAATAGCAGGCTCCCCACTGAGCGGCTTGGTCTCTGAAGCCCGTGTCTTTTAGGTGGCAGTTCAGCAATTACGATTTTATAATTAGAGTCAATTTTGATTTGCTACCCTGTTGGACGTATATTGTTCATCTGACTCTGGGTCGTTGGGTTGTTTTAGCAGCTAGTGAACAACAGGCTCCCCAATTAAGCGACCTGGTTTTGGGTGTCAGTGTGCGCTCTGACAAAAAGGGCCATGGACAATTAGTTGTCGAGTCAAATTATAAAAGAGTAATTGTTCCGAGGAAATTCATTAAGTTTAGACAAATTTTAGAAGTTGAATTAATAAAAGAATATTGCTCTGTCTCGAGCGTATTTTAGTATAGTCGACTACACCGCGTTAGATTTTGCGAAAACGTATTTAGGTACACTTAGAGAATCACACTTAGGTCGGATTCCTCGCTGCGGTAGACTATAAAGCGCTAATATTAATTAATTTCGTCAAAGAACATTTATATAAATCACAACCATACGAATCAAGATAAATTTTGTCATAGCGATAGCCTCAAATACGAGAATCAAATATATACAGGGTGTTACCTGTAACGCTATTCACGATTTTTCTCCCACTTGCAGCCACTTTACGAAAAAAAGTTTAGAACAATATTTGCAGGGTATGAAGTGCACAATAGATATTAGTAAGGCAAATTTTGAAAACAGTTTGTTCTCTTGGCAAAGTCAAGGTCACCTTGGGTTTTTTAAATAGGAACATACATTTTTTTTTATTTTTATATCATTAGAGGACATCGAGACGAATTCAAAACATATATTACATGATATTTTTAGTAAAATATTACTCGATTTACAGGAGTGGAAATGTGAAGTACTTAGCTTTT